TTACCCATTTGTATTTGTGAATTATTGTTATTGTTATGATCTACATGCTAAATAAATGCTTAAATTAGAAATATACGTGTAAATGATGTAAACAAAGCAAAAAAAAATAAAAAATACTTATTGTTCGGAAACCCGTGATCACCCTCTGTAACATGCTGATCATTTGAACTTTGCTGAGCAGTTATTTAACCAATATGCAAGTTATTTGATAAAGTTCATTACAAATATGGAAAACAGTATCAAATATTATTATTATATGCACTGTTTTCTGGATCCAGAGTTAATAACTTTGATTTTAGGAAAGAACAATGTTTATTATTTACTTACACCTTGGTTTAAAAATTTCATATTTTACAAAAAAAAGATATAGGTGATAGAAACAAACTCGTGCATATTATCTAACCCAATTTGTTAATTATTCGCAGATAAGTTCCAAATTTGGTTAGACAATGTGCTCTGTGCACATAAATCAATCAATTTATGTCATTGAACCAAAGTTCACAAGTTCAAATGATTTTTGAACAGGTTATTTAACTTTTGGACCAGTTATTTAACTGACAGTTCAAAAGTTAAATAACTGTCATTGCCAACACCGGTCTAAAGGTTCCTATTGCTTCGCCATGTGAGCAAATTTCAAAAATAGCAATTTTGTATATAATTCGTTCAAAATTTTTCAAAAAAAATAGGACTTCACGTGATTTTAGTTTTAAAAAATTATTTCTTACTGCTAAATTTAGATACGATAGTCAAGTGCTAGTCTAAATTTAGAAATAATCATAGCGGACAAATTCCTCGTGAGTACATCATGTTTTAAAAAAGAATAGAACTCTACAACAAATAATTTTTGAGAATATCTCGTTATTACATCAAAACTAAAGACCTATTTTATCAACTAATAGCGCTATTTTTTTAAAAGGTAGGAGAGAAAATGACTTTTATACTTTTAAAATTTGCCCAAAATTTAAGAGGTCTTTAGACCAATTTTTGCTAATACCCAAAATAGTCACACCACTTATTAAAAATCCTAGTTCCACCGATCGGTTACTGTATACAATCAAAATTTTTATAGAGCAAAAGATTAACAATTGAAACAATTGACCATTTTTTGTTGTTATTACTGCCTTTAAGAAGAAAATATGTCAGCAAATAGACCTTCTCGTCACCATGGCTTTCGTAATCACACTGCTGCTGATCAAGATCGTTTGAAACGTGCCTTATTACAACCAGTTCAAGCTTGGTAAAGAAAATGATTAATCATAACATGAAACTATTTACGTTAACATTTATCATTAATGTATTTGTTGTTTTTAGGGAAAAAAAATGGATATGGACATCTTCTAAACACATCAAAATAAAAAAATGGATGAAATGTAATATTTATAGAAATAAAAATTTATTTATTTTAAATTATAAAATAATAATAATAGTAATGTTATATATACATTAAAATTTTAGCTGATAGAAAATTAACTTTTAATGATGACGATGAAGGTGGATTTGTTAATATAAATAGAAACCCTACAATAGAGGTGATTTTAAATAAAACGATTTATTTTCTTCATATATACATATATACATACTTTCATATATTCATACCTATATGTTTTTGTAGGACATACCTACACCGACAGCTTCTTTCATTTTACAAACAGATGCTTCAACTCCACAACCATCAGAAACTGAAACAGATTCAAATTTATTAAGACCACTACAATATCATCTAAACACAACTCCTAAAGCACCTTCATTACTTCGTGAATCTTCTCTCACATCTGGTGGCATGTCAACACCCGGCGGTGATACTCTTACCATAAACAATAACGACACTCCAAATGAGCTAGAATTGTATACTGATAATAATAGCCCAGAAGAAATAATGGAGCTCGATATGAATGATGACGAGGATCAATTGATTCACCATTCTAAAGAACAGATCGAGGGATCTTCTATTAACATTAATGATATTGCAAAAAGAAGATCTAGTAAAAGTGAATTTAGTGATAAACCTGGTATCGAAACATCTAACAATAAGAAGCAGTTTATTGAAAAAAATGTTGAAGAATATAATCAAAATGAAGAGTATAACGAGGAAGAAGAATACGATGATGATGAAGAAGAAGATTATGTTATTCCTTCGAAAACTTTTAGTAGTAGAAGAAGTGGTTTTGCCGATATTGATGAAAATGATGATGAGATTGATGAAAATATTGAAGAACAACAAAATCAAGAGGTAAGAAAAAATCTTTTTTATTATTTAAAAAAAAATTTTTTTAGCTTATTATCATTAAAAAAAAATCAATTTTAGTATGATGAATATGACGATGATCAATTTGAAGATTATAGAAATGTTGAATATGCGAATCAAACAAGTGAATTTAGAAGAAGATCTGTTTCGAGGTATAATGACAATTATGTTGATGGCGATGAGTTTGATGACGATGACGATGATGATCAAGAAGAAGAGAGTGAGGATGATTACGACGAACAATTAGAACCAAATACTACTGATTTTAATAGTCAATTCACAGAGCAAACCAATAATAATTTATACACAACTCAAGTGACAGCCTACATAGATCAGAATAATGATTTATTATCAACAAAAACAGTTGAAGTTGAGGATGGTGAAGTTGAGGATGATTATAATTTATGATCATTGTTGACAAAAAATAAATGAGTTATTGTCCATATTATTGCAAAAAATTTTCTAATTTATAATTGAACTAACTATTGTTGTTACTATTCTCATTAATACTATCAAGTATTTTAAGTGAACGTCCTAAATCGCATTCTTCGACCTATAATAATAATAATAATTAATAATAAATAAAAGTAAGGTAATAATAATAATATTATTAATATAGCTTACCAATACATTGCCTGTTTTGAATGTACTCAAGTAGAGGATGTTTATATTGTTTGATATGAGAGGATTAGATATGGAATAAACTATCCCATATTTATCTATTATATCATAGTAAATTCTTCATTAATTGGACGAATATCATTAACTACATTATTTATTATTATTCAATACTAACCAAGACCAAATTTGGATAAATCCAATTGGATACATTTCAAAGGAATTGGGATATTGCTCATATTTAAGAGGTATTCTGGAAATTCATTCAACATTGATTCATCTATAACAAGTGATATGCCCTCTAATGTAGCTGTATATGATAAAAACCTGGAATTTTCAAAAAGATTTTTAATATGACTTATAATATTTATAACAATATTTATAATAATATTCTCACCTATTAGGTGGATCATTGCCATCATCGCCACAAGTTTTCGTTGCATTATTATTAAGTAAATCAGTATAAAATATAATCTTTACTAGTATTAAGCTCATCTGATCCCTTAATTCGCTGTTTATACATTATAGTATCAATATTAATAATTATGATCATTCGTATATTTGAATAATTAATTAATATCAACACTAACCGATTAAGTCCAACAAGACGTAACCGATTGCCCGTAACTTTTTTTTCACACTGCATTCCCACTTTATTTAATATTTCCTCCTCATTTTTCATTACCATAGTAGGAAATTTGTCCACAAAATTAGGTGTGAAAAATATCGGACTTGATGAATGGCTTGATGGACCAGAAGATCTTAGCGATTTACTACTATTATTTTTAAGATGATTATTACAATTATGATCATGATTATCATCTTTTTGATCATAATCACCTTTTTGATATGAATTTGATTCATTAAGGAATTCAGTTGAAAAATTAAATATAAGATCATCTTGATCATGGATACTTTTAGAAGAATCCAAAGAAAAATTCGATGATAATTCAGCATCATCATTATCAGTATCATTATTAGTATTAATAGCATTAATGTTATTGGCATTGGTTGTGGTTGTTGTATTTGTTGTGGTAGTGCTCAAAGTTTCTAGATTGATGAAGCTGAAAACATTTTGAAGTGTAGATATAACAATTGGCATAGATTTCTCTTTTACCTAAATACTCATTCATTCAATAAATAAAATAAAAATCTTCTTTTAGAAATATATTAATTCAGCCTATATATTATTATTGTTGTTGTTGTGATACCATACCAACAAGAAATCTTCTTGATATGTTGAAAGATAAAATATGGATATTTTAACATGACTGAGAAGTGCAGATAAATCATTGATCCTTTTTCCAGAATCATCTATCATTCAACCAATATTTGATAAATAAATATAACATTATTCGTAAATTTCCTTCATAATTGATATCCCAAAAAGAATAATTTTATTGTTTTATTTTCTGAATTCACCTAAACTTTCTTCATTTTCTAATATCAAGGCTCTAAATGCATCCTCTGTGATTTCTATACTTGGATAATCTTGCTTTAACCTTATAAAGTCTCGCTCTATTGATTCTGCAGATGTAATTATTGATACTTCCAAATCATTTTCTGTCAAAGAAAATAACGTTTGATCTCTATAAAAAAATTGTCAATTACTATTATTACACATTAATTAAACGTAATAATATATCATCTATCATGTATGTTTTTATATATAAAAACCTTTCGGGATATATGATGTAACGTAAAATTGCATGAGTAGAATATCGAAATATATTTTTAGGTATTGATACAATATGTAGTCGAACAGGTAAAATGAAAATTGACATGTTAGAATAAAAAATAATTATAATAAACAATTAAAAAATTTTATTCTCACTATCTTTTATATATGTTAATTATTTTACACACACGTTATCTACAAACGTTTTTACAATTATTTATAATTATACAATTTGAAATCAAAAATATTATTTTAACACAACCAATCACGTGAAGCATGGTTTGTGAAACAATGAAAAATGATTACAAATTCCGTAACACAAAAAAAGTTATCTAAACTTAGTTTTACAGACATACAGAACATAATAATAATAGTAGTTAAAAAATGACTGAACAAATTCCAACCTTTAAACTTATTCTCGGTAAGCTATATATAAATTTATTTTAAACAAAATATTAATTAAATCTTTTACGGATCTAAAGTATATATTTACCAAATTAAAATTAATAATGGTAGTTGGCGATGGAGGTACTGGAAAGACTACTTTTGTAAAACGTCACTTGACAGGAGAATTTGAAAAGAAATATGTAGGCAAGTAGATAGATCAATAATTATTGTTATTATGATCAATGTGTCGTTGTAATTTTTTCCAAGAAAAAACAAAACTTTTTAACATTTATTTCTTAATCGCTTTTCTTATATTTATATAGCAACATTGGGGGTTGAAGTACATCCATTAACTTTTCACACAAACTTTGGACCAATTTGTTTCAATGCATGGGATACAGCAGGTCAAGAAAAATTTGGAGGGCTTAGGGATGGTTATTACATACAAGGTCAATGTGCCATTATCATGTTTGACGTAACATCACGTATTACATACAAAAATGTTCCAAATTGGCATAGAGATTTGGTTCGTGTGTGTGAAAACATCCCTATTGTTCTTTGTGGAAACAAAGTTGACATAAAGGTAAATTTTTGATGTTTGATTGTGGTGGTGATTAAAAAAAAATAATTAATATATATTGATCTTTTTTCTTGGGTGTATTTTGTAATTAATAATTATATAGGAACGTAAAGTCAAAGCTAAAACCATTACATTCCATCGCAAAAAAAATTTACAATATTATGACATATCTGCTAAAAGTAATTATAACTTTGAAAAACCATTTTTATGGTTAGCTAGAAAACTTATCGGGTAAGAATTTACGATTCATACATACAAAATAGATTTATTTAATTTAATTAATAACATGATATTAATGAAATTATTATTATTATTTTCTAATTATCAATATTACTATAATGATTTATGACTTATTATGAAATAGAAATCCAAATCTTGAATTTGTTGCTTCTCCAGCTCTTGCACCACCGGAAGTTGAACTTGATCAAGCTCTAGTAGAACAATATAATAAGGAATTACAAGTTGCTTCAGCTCAACCTCTTCCCGAGGAGGAAGATGACCTCTAATTCATTTATATTTATATGTTGGATTTATTTTATAGATAATCATGATCATTATTATTATTATCATTAATTATTATTTCATTAACTATGGAAAATTTCTTTGGCGTTTAGTCATAATTTTTTTTTGTTTTTTTTTATCATTTTATTTGCTTAATACTATAAAAAACAGGAAAAGAATATTAGAATCATAACGTTATATATCATCTCTAATGTATATATATATATATATATATATATATATATACATAAAAAATCAAATAATTGTCAAGAAAAAATTTTAGAATAAAAGAAAATCACATGCACAGATTAAAGATAAATTTTTCAATATATCGGTTATTATATTGCCATTGAATAATCCAAAAAAAACATAATATATAGGTATCAATTATATGGATTATAAATAAAGTCGTATCTTTAAAATCTTTACTTTTGTAATTTATGATCTAAATGATACAAAAATTATATTATTATATTATTCACAAATTAATTATTATTAAAAATTAAAAATTACTTGCAAAAAAAAAAATAATGAAACAGAAAAAAAAATTAGTACTTTAATATAAAAATGAAATAAATTATAAATTAAAAAAAAACTAAATATTTTAGTTTATTTTTTTAAATGTGTATAATGATTTTTGATTTTTGTTGTGATTAGTATGCAAAAAATAAAAAAAAAGTTTTGTATATATTATTATTATTATTGTATTAATAAATAATTTAAAAATTAAAAAATTAAATTTTTTCTATTCATTATAATTATGTATTTATATATATAATATATATTATATATTATTAATATTAAAAAATTTTAAATATATTTAATAATCTAAAAAAAAAATTAGAAAAATTAAAAATTATTAATTGTTTTATAATTGTTCTGCCATCCCCATAAAGTAAAACCAAAATCATTAATTAATTCACTGATTAAATATTACAATCTCATAAATAAATGTTTTTTTTTGGTTGAAGCACATTATCATTAAATTTTGTTATTTTTTTACAATGACATTCCTTTTATGATACTAATGGTTTCATTAGTTATTTCAGTTGGATAACCAGATGGATTTGAATTTGTCCAACGCCAAAGATCTTGACACATTTGATCAAGGTTATAATTTGGATACCATCCTAATTCAACATTGGCTAGACTAGCATCTGCTGTTACTGTACCAACGTCACCAGGACGCCTATCCTCAATCTTGTATGGAATTTCCTTACCACAAGCACGTGACATAGCATTAATAATTTGTAAAACAGAGTAACCAACACCTGTACCAAGATTATATGCAACACAGCCTGGTCCTATTTTTAATTTACGAAGAGCTGCTACATGACCTGTTGCTAGATCACATACATGAATATAATCCCTTACACCTAATTAGAGAAAAAAATGAAATGAGAAAATTAAAGTGATAAAGAAAAAAAAATATATAATTATAAAGAATGAATATATTTATTTATTTACCTGTACCATCAATAGTATCGTAATCATTACCAAAAATCTTTACATACGGTAAACGACCTTGAACTACTTGACTAACATAAGGCATTAAATTATTTGGTACACCTCTTGGATTTTCACCAATTATACCTGAAGGATGCGCACCAGTTGGATTAAAATACCTTTTGTTTAGGATAAAAAATTTTATCAATTATTATTCATATATAATATAATATAATAAATGTAATACAATGCAATATAACTAATTTAATATATATATTCAAATTACCTCAAAATTACCGCATTCCATTTTTTATTTGCATTACACATATCCCTCAATGCTTCTTCTATAAATAATTTCGTTTTACCATAAGGATTTGTAACAGGCCCTAAACTCGATTTCTCATTTACCGGGATCATATCTGGATCACCATAAACAGTAGCACTGCTGGAGAATACAATGTTATAGACACCAAAACGTTCCATCACCCTGAACAAATTCAATGAACCTGTGACATTATTCCAGTAATAGTCTAAAGGAATCTTCATGGATTCTCCTACAGCTTTTAAAGCAGCAAAATGTAAAACTGCCCAAATATTATATTTTTCAAATATTTTAGTTAATGTTTGTTCATCTAATATATTTTCATTGTGAAATTTTATTGATCGACCTGTAAGTTTTTGTATACGAATCAAAGATTCTAGAAAAATAATAAAGATTGATTAATTAACTATGACCAAACGTATGATTAATTGATATCAATGATTATCAAATAATCAAATCATATAAACAAATATAGATATAAATACCTATACAGGAATTTGACATATTATCTACAACAACAACATTATAACCATCTTTCAACAATTCTAACACTGTATGGCTTCCAATATAACCAGCACCTCCGGTAACTAACACATAACGATCATCATTAATACTCTGGCGATTCTGTTGACCTGATTTGCGATGATGATTATGTTGTCTATTAGAAACTTCTAAAGGATTTTTATTATTTTGTTCAATGGTTGAAGAAGTTGTCATTAATGAATATTTTAAGCTGTTATTATTAATACTAGATTTATTACCATTATTATGATTATTATGATTTATAATAACATTATTACTACCATTGATGATATTATTTCTATTATTGTTGTTAAGATTACTCCTTTCTATAGATTTTATGATATTATGATGTTGACGATTTTGAAGAGGTTGGCGTTGATTATTGTTATAATTGTTATTGTTGTTGCTGTTGTTGTTACTGATTGGATGGTTGTTATGAGAGTTGTGAAGAATATTACGGTGAGCGTGTTGCTGTTGCTGTTGTTGTTGTTGTAATGGTAATTGGTAAAGATTATAATTCTGATTTTGATTGTAATTCTGATTTTGATTGTAATTCTGGTTTTGATTATAATTCTGATTATAATTGTAATTATAAGTTTGATGCTTGTAATGATGATGATGATTTTGATGGTAATTGGGATTTTGATAATTACTATTATTATTCATATTATTCATATTATTCATATGATTATTATTATTAAATGTTTTATGATTCTTTGATGATGATGATGATGCTGATGATGATGATGATGATGATGATCTAGATAAAGAAGATGGTGACTGAGTTTCTTCGCGTTCATAATAGTTTTTTGCTCTTAATGTCATTGGTAAGGAGTGGCGAGTTAAAGGGTTTGCGGGAGTTGTGGAATCTACAAGATGCATTGTTGGTGGCATTTTTGATATATTATTATTTTTAATATACTTTAATTTAAAATTTTTTATGCTTTAAGGGTTGATTTACTATTATATATTATTATTATTATTGGAAAAAAACGTAAATACAAAAAATAAAAAAGAAATTTTGAAAATAAAAAATTGTGATTTATATATTTCAAATTTTAATTTTCCCTGCTTTTCTAAAATAATTAAATTTTATTTATATTATCAAACAAAATCTCTTGAAATGGATGGTAGAAAAAAAAATTGAAACGCAAAAAGAAACGAACCAAAGAATTGAAAATTTTATAATAATAATATAATAGTAACAATAATAATAATAATAATATAATGATAAAATACTATTACTATCACTACACCTCGCAACCTTTTTTTTTTGTTTTTTTTAAAGAAATTAATAATAATTTGGTCGTTTGAGGTGAAAAAAAAGAAAAAGTAAAAAAATAAATACGAAAAAAAAAACCTGCTTGTTTAGATTTTTTTTTAAATTACTAGCGACACAAATGATTTCTCAATTTTAATAATTTTAATCATTGGCTAGTTTCGACTCTCATTAATGATGATCCACTTAAAAATTTCAAATTTTTCTGAATAAATTCGTACGTCTAAATATACCATAAAAGGATTAGAAAAACACCCATAGACTTTACACACAATTTTAATAATAAATTAATCAATAAATATTCAATAATAGAAAATTACCTATTTTAACCGAACAAGTATATTATGTGTGTGTATATATATAAATATTATTTATAATTTTTATTTATTTATTTTTTATATTATTTATTTTTTATATTATTTATATGAATATTATGTAATGTAATGTATGGCGACAATCTTAATTTATTTTAATTAAAAAAAAAAATAAAAAGTCTTTTGTTTATGTCGAGAAAAGCGAAGAGTTTTTTCTTTGCTTGGGAGACGATTTAAAGAAAATAAGTGACTTATCAACCAAGAATCTAGAACTTCTTTTGGATTGATGGTATAATCTTCAATGACGTGATAATAATTGGCAAGCCTTTTTATTTTTAATAGATTGTTGATTTTGTAACCGTTTGTAAAAAAAAAGTGATCAATGATTTTAGATCTGTATAGATTACACGACAGGCCTCGGATTTTTATGGAGGTGATAACCAATTATAGATTTTCATTCCATTCAGAATTTTATTTATAGAAAAAAAGGGAACTAAAATTATTTTTTTTTTTTAGTTAAAAAGAAAAAAATCAATATTTATATTGATTGCCGTAAAAAAAAAGAAAGAAAGATAGAATAGAAACAATTAAGTAATAGTGGATAAAAAGGGCCCAGAAGGCCAAGGAAAAAAATTATTTTTAGCAAACAAACCAATTACTATTATTATTTTAGTTGGTATGGAGGAGACCCCAAAACCTAATAAGGGACTAAAAAATTTCAAATAGTATAGTAGCAAGCATTAGTATTAGCATTAGTATTAGCATTAGTATTAGCATTAGCATTAGTATTAGCATTAGCATTAGTATTAGCATTAGCATTAGCACTATCATTAAAATTAGCACTAGAATTAGCATTAAAACTAGCATTAGCATGTAGCGTAGGTAAAGACGGTTGTCATTTTACCGGAATCATCAACCATAAAAAATTGAGTCATAAACTTGAGGCTTATTAGTGACGTTTTTTAAAAGTTGTATGAAAAATGGGCTCGACTGTTAATTATAGATAACTTCTTTAGATTAAAAATAGACTGAAGCATTTTTGAAACCGATCGAGACTAAATTGAATTTCGTGTGACCAAAAAGTTTTTTTAATCAGGTATGGATTCAGTTTCATTGTATAGTTTCATAGCTTTAATATGCCTCTTTCTTCATGTTCTTGCAACTGAGTTGTGATATTCATCAAGTCTAACTTGCAATACAGTAACCAACTCTTCAATCAAATTTTCTCGGAGATAATAAAAAAGAATGGAAGAAAGGATGGCTGTTTGTTATAACGAGGAATAAGATCAATCTTCCAATGTTCCATCAGCCAGTTTCATCATCTAGATCAATCAATGTAGTAGAGGTACTCGCTCTTTACCATCTTATTCAACTTGGAACCACGAGGGCAGAGAAAATAATCAAAATTTCAAAGAGCAGATGACTTACAAGGTCGTAAACATTCATCCCAATTGCAATTACCTTTAATTTACGTCCTGGTCAACAATGGAGGCAGTTGACGTTGCTGTTATATATGCTATATATTTCAATTTATATTATTAAATTCATATAAATAGATAAAATAAAAATTCAGCTGTAAGAAAAAAAAGAAAATACATTATTTCCCTCCTCCATAATCTGCACCGCATAAAAGAATTGTAGGTATACTTTTGTTTTGATGGTGATGGTGGAAATGGTTCAAGTGGTTTTGGATTACTCCTTGTTTACGAAATTAGTTAAATTTTATATAAATCTTGAGAACTTAAGAACCCTACATTGGGTATATACCTCGTTTATTATATATAACCTTCGATCTCTGTTTATCGAAGACGGCGGAATGCGAGCCCTAAATTTTCCATTGCATCACATCCTGGGAAGGCCAAGGTCGGATTTACTTTTTTTTTGCAAACAGGACAAATAACATTTGAACCTCAAAAAAATTTGTAATCTTTCAAATCAATTATCCAATCTAAATAAATAAATGAAATGATAAAGTCAAAAGCTATTGAAAATCTATATATCCATTTGTTGAGACCAACATAAATGTTAAAGCCGGAATTGTTTTTAAGGTTGTTCTCATTCTATTATCTCCTTAGTCAATGTGAAAATTGCCACTAATAAAGTGTTGTTTTATTCCCTAGGCGGTTCGGTATATATAAATAAATTTAACTGGAGTGTCAACTTTTCTTTATAAAAAGTATTTGTTTATTTTCCACATTAAGAATGTAAACATTATATTTATACCTTTTTGGTGAACAATTGAACATAAAAATTAGAGGGTCTAAATTTTAGTGACAAGTTACAATAACCCTAATAATCCAAAACACATGTTGTAAATCAACGACAAAATTCAATTTTTTTTTCATACACTTTATTTATAAAATTTTTTTTTCGATTTTCTGGATTTTTTAGTTGGTTCTATTTTATTTTGAATAATTGTTTGATTGTTTGATCATTACCTTCTGCCATTTTTTTTAGCTTGTACAGCATGAAGTCGCCTAATCTCCCAAGTAAGACCAGAATGACATGCAGAATCTGTATACCATCAATTTTACATCACTATCACCACCATTACTTGACTCGTCATCGCTTTCATTCATTGAATTTTTTATCATTTTTATTATTCTCACTATCCTAAAGAAAAATTTTTAAAGAGACTTTCTCTTCTCAGAAACAAGTTATTTAAATGGTTTTTTTTTTGTAAACTCAATAAAAAGGAAGAATGAATGTAATTGTTAATTAACAATTTACCGTGTAACATTAGCAAAATCATTTATAGTTACTCAAATTAAATTAAATTAAATTACAATTACAATTACTTTTTACTATATAAAACTATGAAGAATTTGTTCGGGTCCAAAAGTGCACCTGTATTCATGTGATAGACTCGAGCTGTAGGAAACTATTTTTCTTATATGTGAATGAAAAAAGACAATATCCCATGGGTCTAATGAATACTACAGGAATTGTATCGTGATTACCAAAAGACATAGAATTTAATTGTGTGTACGCATGAGAAATGAATGACTCTGGGAATGACAGGACATTTTTGCCTATTCTTAATATTAAGGATACTGTTGGTACATCCCAAGTATGTTGATTACACAAAAACATGCATAATAAGTGCACAGAAATTAACATGTTATTATATAGTCTTTAGAGAAATTGCCCAATAAATTTTATCATCAAAAATTTTTTTCTAAAAACGATCTTCAGAACCTAAGCTATTTAGGGTTTTTTAATGATCGAAATTTGCAGTTTTCAAATTGTTGTTTCTCCCCTATTTTCAAAAATATAGGTACCAGATGTGTGTAAAAAGATAGTAAATAGGTAGTATTTTAAAAACTCAAGTGTAATTGCATTTTAAAAAGTTCAGTATTGTAAAATATTCATTCGAACTTTCCTTTATTGCAATACTTTTGCTCTATTACAACTTTCAAAAAAACATAGAAAATTAACATATTCTCTCTGTATCAGTACTCTACATGTAGTTTTTAATCGAAACATTTTAATTTTTTGCAAACGGATGAATTTTGCAGGAGAAATAACAGTTTAAATTCAACGCGCTAAAAATAATTTTGATTCACAAGTTTTTTGTCACACAGGAAAAAAGGTGGTTACCATGACACAGATTTATGATATTAATTAAATTTGTCAAACAATCAATATCGAATACCCAATTTAGGGTGCCCGATTCTTCATCTAGCTGGTTACGATATATAAGCATTATCCTTGGTAAACCAAGTTCTCAAACCATTTTCATTTCTATTTGGGAGTTATGCTTAATAAATATATCAAATAGCAAAAAAATCATAGGAAGCAACAAAAGGTTCAACAAACTATATAATAGAAGCTACAACATAAAACTAACGATGAACTGCCAGTTGTGGAATTATTGAATACAAGGAATTCCAAAACATATATCGATAATACACGCCCAAGGTGTTACGTTAATAAAGTAGATCAAGAGCATCGATGGAATAGAAGAAATAATTGAATTTGGTTCAACAATCAACAAATTAATAAAAAAACCAAATAATAAATATCCATTCCTTAAATAACCAACTCATCCTGTTTTGACACAAACTACAAACCTTCAATTTGACTATGCTAAGAGGGTTTATATTCAAATGGAAATAACAAGTTACTTGGAAGAAAACAAGACACAAACAAACCAGGTAAAAATTAGCAAAGAATTTAAATGAAAGAATTATAATAAAAAGCAAAAGAAAAAAAAATATGGAAACCTAGATATTAGGGATCACGAGAGAAGAAAAAATTAATAACTAATATAACTAAATAGAAGGACGATATCATATATAGAAAACATAATTTTATCAAATAAACTCGTGGAGTTAAGTGTCGGTGATGCCTTAGGCCAGGGCCGCCATGTCTATTCAGGGCGGCGGGCCACAGTTTTAGTTGATAATATTATATGATATGTACAAGAATTTAAATATAAGAATTTGTAAATTACTTTGTTAATAGTACATCATCTAACTAAAGCTTACGAATCATTTTATAAAAACTCGTTTTAAAAATGGAATACCATCTAGTAACTATGTCTATAATTAGTTTTTTTAGATGAAAATCCTTCAGAATTATGCAAGATTAAAAACTTTTTACGACTCTGTGATGATATTCATATCTTTACAATTTACAAAGCTTAAAGAAATTAAATAAAATCTAAAAACATACAGATCCCTTCATTGTAATTAATCAAATAATTTTCTGTGCTCGCTGCTATTGCTTTTAATTCTATTGATATAACTTTGTCAGCTAAATTAAAGGCATGTTTTGAGCATTTAATCTGTAGTATTAATATATCTTGGTTGGCATTAGTTAAAAAATATTACTTTTGTTAAAATCCAAAACCTCGCAACAATCAATGAATGATTTGACAGAGCAAAGACCAGGGAGGGAGCTTCCTGAAATCAATCAAAGTTACTTTGAAATACCAAGAAGCACATCTAATGTACAAGAAATAAAACAATTAATATCTTAACTGCAGATATTTTTTAATTGAAAATGTTCATCTCTAAATATTTTCATCATAATAATGTCATTTTTACAGCATCAGCTGAGGGAATAAGAAAGCATGAAAATGGAAGAATTCCTGTAAAATTGTGACAGCAGAATTTTGTTATACTATTCATAAAAAGTTTGAACCTTTGAAATAGAAGATATCCTGGAAATTTTTTTAAAGCTTTATTAATGTTAAAAACATTCTTCGGTCTAGAGATGGAGAATGTGCTTGAAAGAAAAGATTTTGCCAATGAACTAGAAACTAAAGAACGAACGAATGAAGATATGGACGAAAGTTTTGCAAAAATTTTTTTTTTAATATTGGAGAAACATTATTTCTGAGACTTGTTATTGAGAGGATGTAGAAGTTCTAAAAACCACTCAATCATTAAGAATTATGAGACATAAAACGGCAAAATAAACACTTGGACGAGACATTTGACGTCTCGATTGTGGCGTTTGGTGCCACGTTCGTTTTGTCCATATATTTTTATGAAGATATAATTTACGTTAACCCTCTAATAGGATTGGACTGGCAAGATCCGGTCAAGCACCAAATGTAGATATATAAAAATCCAAATAACATTTACACAGCGAATCTCAATTTAACGGATCGAGGCTAATTGGTAAATTCAATTAATTTTTAATTATTAAATTGATCGTATCGGCGCTGCCCTTTATCTGCAAGGTCTTCTTTGAAAACTTAATGAGTACTTTAGAGTAACTTGAGAAGAGCAATTTATTGTTTGTTATATATCGCAATAAATTTATATTGTAAACTTTTAGTCTATTAGATATTATTTCTATTTTTATAAAACTTCTGTTTCATGTCAAAATAAATTATGGTTATTGGACAATCGCCAAATTGATTTCTAAACCCATCAATTGTAAATTGTGGATAATCTCATTATTACTGATCCCGCAGAGATTGTATTACATAGATAAAGTTCGTTAATTGATTGCATTTGTATTATTATTATTACTATATTATAATAACGAATATCCGTGCTAGTGGTAAAATTGGTTTAATTACTTAATTTGTGGAATGTTACAAATCGATTAGAATTCTTGGATTCGCAAAATCCCATTTTTTTATATTTCGTGCTACGTATGACTGTTATACAATTGTTATAAAAAATTTATATTCCCCCCCCACAAGCGAGTTATCTTCTAGAGGGTAGTGGTTAACCTTAAAGCTTTGTATTTAGTATGTATGCATGAAAAATTTTCAGCCAAGAAATGAAACCTTGTTTGAGATTGTTCAATCTTGTACATAAAATTTATATCAGTTGTAGTTTGGGATACAGTTTCACCCATCATTGATTTTATTAATCTAGAAAAGATAGAATTCATATGCATTCTCAATATTCATTCTCAATGTCACTTTCATCATTTCATTTCCATTTCATTTTCATCCTCATTCAACCAATATTTACATCTCCCAAATTATATTACGGTTTGTAACTTTGTCATTCAAACGAAGATTTGAATATATATATATAAACCAACTTAAAACTTTGCCATCAGTTGGTCTATGAACGAAGCCAAAATGGCTCCAATTTCTTTCTTCTGCTGCTGACAAAGCAAGAATTGGCACAAGTTTAGCAGCAAGTTCAGAAAGTACTGGCACCTCATTGTCCACTACATAGTATGATCCTTTGTAGCTTCGTATGGCCATAATACATTTAAACACACTTGATTTGTTTTGGTATTCCGGTATTTAAAGGTAGGTGTGGGAAGAAATTTTTTTGTAAAGAATTAATATGTGCTATGTTGATCATTTGTTATAAAAACCATAACAAACACTTGTTATATAACATTCACATCTTTATTTGTGGAATCAAGCGATTATCTGTTCCTCCTCTCGCTTGGAGACCTTCGAGAACTTAGTAGTAAGGACGAGGAAAAGATGGCGAATTGTGGAGGTTCTTTGCCCCAAAAGCACGGTAAAAAACCGAGACACTGCATGTATTGATGGAAGGAGTTGGACTCTTTGCATTCATATTATCAAAACCTAAACTACGTACGTACACACATAATGACATGCTTTTATTACGTGAGTTTTCGAGTAATCAGCGAAATAAGTGTTTGGATGAGCGTATGTATAATTAAAAATTATTACTGCCATTAGGAAATTACATTAGTTGATGTTATTAATAAAGTATCAAGACTAAAGGACAACATGCAAACTCATTATAAAAATTACGAGGCAATAGTAAAAAAGATTTACAAGGTACATTAATTCACTAATTAAAGATGTCGGAATTTTTTTTGCGTAAAAATTAAAATGTATGGGTGAATGAATTGATGCATGCATGCATGAATGAATTGAATATATGTAATGTGTGCATAAATGAGATAGAGATCCTCACTTAACATTGTTAAAATTCTTATTGGATCCGTCAAAATTAAAGATCAACATTTAATTTTTAATTTTGTGTAAAAAAATTTAAAAATCCAGACTTCCAAACTTTAAAATATTTAGAAAATTTAATTAACCAATTCAATTAAACTGTATATGTTAATAAGTTGATTACAATCTTTGAATCAGCTTTTCTACATAACATTGACCTCATAATTGCCTAATTAATGAAATAAGGCAAGATATAAACAATATTTCGGTGACTTTATCTAATTAAATTTTTTTAATAAAGAAACCATTTTTGTATTTATTCTGTAAATGATATTTAAAAAAGGAAAACAGGCTGTGATGCGCGATTTGCTACTCAAGATCACCGGACTCTGTTGCAGGTCTTGAAAAGAGCAATAAAAAAAAAAATTCAAGAACTTAACTCGTTGGTACCTTAGCAATAAATATCGTTTTGATAGACGATTAATTAGGTTTTTAAGAATATAATTTTAAAATTTATATGAAGGTAAGCAATAAATATTTATTTATTACCAAAGATTATTCTCGTATCCGTCATTTGTTTATTTACTAAAATAGTATAGAAAGAAAAAGAATCTTGTGCACTGTCGTGTTTATTAACGTGTGATCCTATATTTTAAATTTGCGGTTGTTTTGTTCGTTTATTGATACATAAAGATTCTTGTTGGGTCGAGAACATTAATTGTTAATTATTGATTGATTCTGATTGATTTTTTGGATAATCCAACGATTATGTTTCCAAGTCATTCATCCATTCAAGCCAAATTTGGATTAATCGACAAAATTTTAATCAACGGATAAACTTTATTTCCTATAACAATGAGATTTTTAAAAGGGAAGTTCGAAAACTTAAAATTTTACCCTTAATATTTAATTTATTGTTCTACTTTTATAACTTGTGGGTTCGTCAATATGTGTGTGATACACGCGTATTTATTTATTTTTTCTTGTTATTTGGTGTTTTTTAATTTAGCTTATTGATTAGTCACGGAAAAACTTCAAAAGAACAAGATTGAGACATGTACGTAGATTTTTACAACATTAAAAACTTGTTCTAGAAGAAAAAGTGCTCATACATGTGCTATATTGATTATACGGCCAATCAAGTATTCGCCTCGAAAATGTGATATGCAAACAATAATTTTAATTAATTACATAATCATTAACATGAAAACTGAATTCGATTGAGGCCAATCCAGACCTTTTAAATCTGTATGTGTTTGTACGTGTAATACATATTTAAAAAATACACATTCCAGCTCAATAACATTGATACTTGTTTGGTTTGTTCCAACTATCTTTCTTCCATATCTATCAATCTACCTATTCAATGATTGGTGGAGTTGTTACAGGAAAAATAAACTACATGTGATATAAAAAAATTTTTGTTTATTTATCTGTTTGGTTACAACAACTCTCATCTGAAATTTCTTGGTGTAAAAAATAAAAACCTGTAGTTTTTTATTTTCGTTTTTGTCAATAGTACCATCATTATTTAAAGTATTGGTTCCGTATAAATTGATTCATAATTTCCCCTTATTTGTAAAAAAAAATTGAGTATTTCAACTAAACTCGTCCCGTCACGAAATAAATTAAGCTCATTTCTTTACAATAATAAAATAGAACAAAAAAACTAAAAAACCATTATTATTGTAAAGTTCACTCATTACTAAAATCTTTGTTTCGTGCAAGGATTTTATTTTAAAAATAATTATGTCGGATGCTTCTCCTCCTATTTCATCAACTCATTTAAGCATGTTGTTGTCGTCGTCGAATATTTCCTCCAATGATAATCATTATTACAATTATAAAGATAATAACGATCCAAGAATCCTTTATTGTGATGACAACAACAAAAACAAGAACAAGAACAAAATGGATCATCTTTTTCCTATTGAAAAATCGTTAATAGATGTCCACATTATTATTATATGCAATGATGATATTCAAATGGCGTATAACTTGATAATCAGTCTAAGAAGCAGAAAAGCGAATATGATATCTTTGTTAATAAAAGAGGATTTACGCGTTGTAACTATCGTTATTTATTTTACTTTTGATAATGCTAATTATCAGTTACATCGATTAATTTACACGTAAAAATAATTTTTTAGGCTGCATTAAAAACTATTGATAATTTGGCAAGTATCATACCGGGCGAATGGAATGTAAGAGATGATTTTGAACGCTTATTAAATAATGTGTCATCGTGTAAGTTTTTCAAAAAAAAACCAACTTTTTCTTTCTCTCTTTTTTACGTGCAAAATAATAAAATCAATTTTTAGACTCGGTGATAGTGATTAGTATGTTATATCATGAATTTGAACGTCAAATGACATTATTTAAATCTTGCGTAGATTCCAATGTAGCTCTGTTTATATCATGGGATTCGGGGATGGAGCTGTAGGTTCAATATATATATATATATATATATATATATATACACATATAATAATATAAAACTCATTCTTCTTCTATTATAATTCTAATTATTAGCGAAGAACATGTCAAAGATAAAATGTGCCCACGCACCAGATTACATCAAACTTTGATTGATTATCATAATTCCAACAAGAAAATCAGTAAAAAAACCAATAATGGGTATTGTTCGGGAATAGTAAATTGGATTCATTTTCAAGTTGGAATTTTTGATGAAGTGATATTAAACAATGATCTTTCAAATATCACGACCGCATTTAACAGCCCAAACCAATTTATTTTCCTAAACGTTACGGTGAAAGATGATTTCGTCAATGTGATTGTGGAAGCGATTGTTTCATCAAATGTTGAGCCTAATCGTAATTATGTAGTTGGAGATTTTGTTTCCCACACATTTTTAGGTCACATTTACAAAGTGGTCAATCAACGTAAGCATTTTATATAAATAAACAAATATTTGCTTGCTTACTTGTTCACCAAAGAAATTATTAACATTAATCATAATAATAATAACAACAACAACAACAACAATGATGATGATGATGATGATGATGATGATGATGATGATGATAACGATAACAACAACAACAACAACAAAATCAATAATTAGAATTGCCTTTTGATTATGATATGGCAGCCGAGATAAAAGAATTTGAGGTAACAAATCAACTTCGATTGTCCGGAATAGTTTCTGCCAGACCTTTACCTCGTATCTTATATCCGGATTGTAATGCGTATGATTACAAGTTATTAGTTGAAATTTCATTCCAACACCATACCATTATATATCAAAAATTAACCGGTCATCGTCGTTTAACACTTAAAGATTGGTTTATTAATCTATATGAAAATAAAGAATTTAATTATTTATGAAGAAAACCTCTTTTGAGACAATATATATATATAATTATGGTTTATTTTTTTTTATACGGAATGCGCATGAATTGATAAGTATATTTTTTTAAGATGTAAATTTACTGATATGAATTTAATAAATTTACCAAGATTTTAAGATTTATATTATTATTATTATATGAATGCATGTGTGAAAAAATGGATTTACTATAGGTCAATTATACAATTTAATCATTAAGAGAAGGCATCCATCGAAAAAAGAACGTCAAAGTATTTTATGATTGAGAAAAATTCATACAAAGTCTAAAAATAAAGACAATCTAATTTTATTATATATAGATGATTACCTTTTATAATTGTTGAAATTTATTCTCACTACCATTTTATTCGCAACACATCAAATGTTCTTTGTTATTATTTTTAAAAGTTATCATTCATATGTTATATCATATGAAAATTAAAATCATCATCGCCATTATCGCCGTCGCCTCCGTGAATAGTATAATTAAATAAAATAGTGATAGATTAACATATACGGTAACAAGTTCTTCCTTTATTTTTATTTTTTATTTTTATTATTTTTTTAATACAAAAAAATTATATATTATATTATTTTTTTAAAATAAATATGTATTTACTTTTATAAAAAAATAAATAAAAAAAAAATGGGAAATATTTACAAGAGTAGAAAATTTTATATAAACTAAAATGTTGTAAAAAATAAATAAAAATTTTAGTGTTTATATAAAAGAAATTATTTATTTATTATATGATACAGAAAGAAAAAAGTAAAATAAAAGAGATTTGTGATTAATAATATAGCAGTGATGATAATAATTAATAATTGATTGAATCTATCTACAATTAGATTTTTATATGACAAAATATTTTTTTTTTTGCATGCGATTAAATGCTGCTATGGAAGAGGCTCTTTCTATCAATCCAACTTTCAACTTGCAAAAAAGTAAAATTAAGATTTTGAATGATTCAAACGTTGAATTCAACAATTCAATTTAGGATTTCTGCTTTGCCAATTCCTATTTAAGAATGTTTTTCCAACAATTCAAATTCCACTTGATTCAAATAATCTTTCACTATAATTGCAAAACTTTTTAGTTAGAAAAAAGCGGTCCTTGGTATATTACCAAGAGGATTGATACTCTCCATATCCAACATATTATCTTTCCTCCTGAATCCCACGTGTGTCATAGCACCATTAACTCTTTTATGACCAAGAACACCTTCCTCAACTCTCATTAATTCTGCCACGAATCCTATATTCGGACAGATACCACTTCTTCTTTCCATCACATAATCATACGCATGTCGAAGTGTCCAATGGCGTGACTTGATTAAATAAGCCAATACTGCAGTTACTGATCTTGATTTCCCTGCTTTACAATGTACATATATCGGTGTATTATCATTATATGCTTGGTCTATAAAATCAACAGCCAATTTTAAACCATTTTCTACATCTTCTTCGACTAAATCTTTAACGCTAACTTTTAAATATTTTTCAAACTTTTGATTCAGTCCAAGATTATCTTCACATTCAAATGCCATATTTAAAATTCGCCTGATTCCTTTACTCTCCAACTCTTCAACCTCCTCTTCTTTTGTTATTTCAGGTCCAAGAAACAAAAAATCTGGAACTATAGTTGACACATCAAATGCTACTTCAGGATGTGTTATTGGTGGTGGCGTACACGGTGAATCTAAATCTAAATCATCGTTCCTGTTACTGTTGTCAAGGTTTGTTACCAGTATACTAGGAGTTAAATCTTGATTGGTGAGACATATTGATAATTGTTCGCCGTTTTTGCTTGTAGATTTAAAAAGATATTGTAGTCCGTTAGATGGACGTCTTAATTTTAGTATATCGTTGTTATTGTTGTTGTTGTTGTTGTTGTTGTTATATTCTTCTGATTTTTCTTGATTATATTGATTTTCGTCAATTTGTTGCGGAACAGCAATTGTATTATTGTTGCTGTTGTTATTATCGGAAGGATTTTTTCCACTTTTTTTCCTTCTTAGTGAGTTTCTTTCAGTATTTACAGAAAATAAGGAATCACGTCTAACCAAACTTGCTCCTTGATTTTCAACATCCAATGAAGAATTACTAATTGAATCAAGATAACCTTCTTTATCATTATCAGAAGAACAAGAGGAAATGCTAGGAGAAGTAGCTGTGTTGCTGCCGCTGCTGCTGTTGTTGTTGTTGAGTGAAACATCTAGACCACTCATTATAAATTCGCCCTTTTTATCCCATGATTTAAATGCTTCAAACCCCCCTTTAAGCCAATAAACTCTACCTCTGTTAGAATCATCCATTGGTGATAATGGATCCGGTGTTTCTAATAAATTATCGTTGTTCGACATCATTACACGTTCTAAAACACTTAACAATGTCCAACCCGGACTAACTTTATCATTTTCATTCATTGTTTCATCAAATACTATTACATCATGTTGAAGTTTCATTCCATTAATGTTAATATTGCTGTTGTTAATATTGCTATTTTCATCATTACTATTGTTGTTGACATTATTATTTATTATATCAAAATATTTATCACGTCCTTCAGGTGTTGTGATAAATGAATCCAGAGAGAAATTACTCATACTCCCGCGACGATATCGTTTAATGAGTAAAGTTGGTAGATTAACATTAAAAGATTCGCATATATGTTCATTTTCATATAATGCCAGATTACGTACATCAATAAGTATTGGTTTAAGTGATGGTTTAATCGTCGTCGATAATGATGATAATGAATACATTTTATTTTCTTCTGCCGCCTTTTCTAATTCATTTTCGTTTTCAGTATTTGAATTAAAAGAAGGATAAGATTCACGTAATCTTTCGGCGAGTTCAGCGGGTACAATTGGTAAAGCTTTTTTACATGTTGAAGATTTTGGTTGTCTAAATTTTCCTATAGGTTTATTGTAGAAAAATGAATTTTGTTTGTTACAACTATTGCCATCACTATTATAATTGCTATCACTGTTATTATTATTGCTATTGCTATTATTATTATTATTATTATTATTATTACTATTATTATCATCATCGGTAGCAGGTTGTGTTAAGTTTAAACTTAGATTGGAAATGTTCGAGTTAAAGCTACTAGTTGTTGGTGAATCCAATTTTTTACGTATTGAATTATTGCTACCTTTTTTATGTAAAATTTTTGGTGATTTTGGAGGCTTTTGATAAGGTTTAGACGAGTTGTTATTGGTGGTGATAGTTGTGTTGTTGTTGTTGTTGCTGCTGCTGCTGCTGCTGCTGCTATTATCATAATTATTAATATTATTATTATTGGTATTATTGATATTATTATTATTGTTAAAAGTCTTTGACAATGATTTTGGAGATTTTGGAAATCTTAATATTGATTTGTTTTTACCAGTAATTGTTGTTCGTTGAAGCGCAGCAGTGATGGCGTTTATAGGTTTTAATACAAATCTTTTTGTTGGACTGTGAGGATTACGAGGAGAAGCAGGCAGGTCAAAAAAAGAATCACTTTTAGCGGGGCTTATAGGAGAAGACAAACAACCATTTACAACGTTGTTGATTAAAGTATTTGAAGTTGAAGAGGAAGAAGAAGTTGATATTATTGAAGAAGGTGATGGTGGTGGGATAATAACAGGAGTTGGTAATTTCGATAATCTTCTTTTACGATTACATCCGGACATTTTTGAAGAGTTATTATCTTCTTTATTGTTGTTGTTGTTGTTATTATTATTATTACTATTATTATTAAAGTTATAGTTAAAGTTCATGTTAAAAAAGTTATTGTTATTATTATATTTAACGTCCTCCATTTCTTGAATGTTATTGTTGTTACTCATTTTTAAATTTTTCATTCGAAAAAGAATTTTATTAAAAATCTTTTTTTAATTATTATTTATACGATGAGATTGTTTTTTTTTAATTAATTAATTTAATTTAAAAAAAATTTTTGTGTGCGAATTTTTTTTTTTAGAAAAATATTTATAGATTGTTTTTTTTACAAGACACAAATTGTGTGTATTTATATTATTTCGCGAAACTTTATATTATTAATGAAAAGTTTGTGGAGAAAATACACAGGTCCAAACAAAAATACTGTTGCACAAACCGGAATATGTCACCGGCGGATAAAATATCACATATAATTCCTAATTTTAGAGAATGCCTTATCATTATTGTTTAGTCTACCGCCAAAAAACCCCCAATTTAATAAGTCTACTTTTATTAATTAATATTAATTGCAAAAAAACGATCAAAACTTCTTTTTTTAAAAAAAAATCATATGCAATCTTTTCTAGTTGGCTGTGACTTGTCATCACAATCGGCAAACTTCTTCTTCAATCGTAAGAAGATTTAAGCCATTCTGAGTGATGAGCCCAAAACCAGTAAATCATTGTGCCCAAAGGTCATTAGAATGACTCTAAAAAGATTAGATCTTGGGTCATGGGTTACAGTCGATTCAATTAAACCATCACCTAGTGATTTTAAATCACCCAGATGGGAATGTTTTAATGATGCAACTTTGTCATTTTAAAAAAACCTCTACCCGGAGAAACTCTTAAAATCAGACGGCATACGACCAATGTTAATATATTGATTAATATGAAAATTAAAAATTAAAGATCAAAAGGTTTAAAGAATCTATCTCAAATGGGATCTTATAGTAGGCTGTGGAATGATGACAAAAATAAAATGTACCGCTTATTTTTGCATTATTATAGAACCCAAGGTGAAAGGGATCCTATACAAATAACCGTAAAAGATCATAATCTTGCGAATGGATGCTGTTGTCGAAAAAATGGATATGTGGAACACAAGACATGGTCAAAAATGATGATGATGGTTTTATCTAAAACTGCAAAGCAAATGTTGGACCTGGTAGCATTTCCGTTTTTGCTCCATAAATCCCGCGAGAAAACTTGATTGCAATGTGGTCATCTGCACCGAGGAATATATACATTAGTAAAACATAGTAAAACATGCGGACACACCAAACAAATTCCAAAGACCTTTCTTTAGACGTACATTTTGTAAATCAACTATTGATGGGGATGTAAACGAAGACCGTAATGTACTTGAAAGCGTATTATAGATACACAACAAGAGTTTTTTGCGACGTTGAGGCTTAGACTTGTAGTACTCGTGTTTGGTCGTATAGAGAGGTTGGATAGGTACGTATATAGTACAAAAAATATTTAAAAAAAAAAAAAAAGTGTGTTACAACATTATATTTTTTAAATATCACACACACATACATGCAACGGGGAAAAAATTACCTAATATATATTGGCATGATGATTATTATTAATTAAGTGTTGCACTGCAATCAAAAAGGAAACAATAAATAAAAGCTTATTTGAAAAATATAAATAAATGTTATAAATAAAAAAATAAATTGTTTGTGCGACAAATGGTCTAAATAAGCAAAAAAAAAAATTGTCTATAAATAATTTATATATAAAATAGACATGAATGAATATTAATAGTTTTTTAAACAATAATAACTATAATGATGATGATGCAGAAATATGTAATAGCGTGTTGTTATGTGTGTTTATTTATATACGTATGTATCCTTGTGCTTATTTGTTTAGATCTATGATGAAAAAAATGGCTTTTTTATTTTTATATTATTTATTTATAATAATGAATAATCTAATGTGAAAATTATATTATAAATAAAAAATAAAAATAAAATATAAACACATAAATATTATATATTACCTACTATATTACCATTTGTCTATTTTAAATTGTTTTAATTTATTTTAATTTAGTTTACAAAAATTACAAAAAAAGTAATTTTATTAAATTGTATTAGAGTTATCATCATTTGACATAAATAAATAAGCAAAAAATAATATTTTCTTGCCAAATCAGATTCGGTATCGCACAAGTTCTATCAAAAAAAGCTTCATTTTTAAATTGTTTCTTTCTTTGATTGAACATCAAACAATCCAAATAATAATCAATATTCTTGAAAAAAATTGATAAATAAAAAGCATATTTAATCGGTTACAAATTAGGCTTGGACGGTTTGTTAGTTCGATTGTTATTCACAGCCATATAACCATCTTTCATACATAACAAACAATTGCAATTCTCTTAATGACTAGAAATAAAAACTTGTCGGAAAACTTGAATATCTTTCCATTATGTGTGGCGATTATTTAATCAATTGATTTTAATTATAAGAAATTAAATTTATTAACTAACCCATCCCATCTATGATATTTATTTTTTTGACAGATATTAAAAAAATGCTGTGGTTATTCTATAAATAGCAATCCCTAGTTCGCACTTGTGTACCCTGAAATATTCTAAAATCCACTGGTTTACCATTTATATTAAATAAGTAATGAGACAAACTCTCTTGACGAGTAATAAATATTTTATAAATAAACCACGCATAACGTGTATCATTTTCATTATATAAGATATTTAATTTTCCATTCATTCATTCATTATATGGTGTATACATACATACGTGTATGGTTTGGTTTTCTGAATAAAGGGTCCCAAAAAAAAACAAAATGCGTGAAAATGAAAAATAGAAATAAAAAAATGAAAAAAATGAAAATGAAAAAATTAAAATTAAAAAAAAATTTAAAAATTCCCTAATTTGATTCCTAGTCCCCCGAGCATTTAATAACATACGCCCGGGGTACTTTATTATAACTATTGATAAAATACTTTCAGAGCCACAAAATTACCTCATTATTTGATTAACTTGTTTCAGTAAAAAGAAGATTGTGTGTGTGTGTGTGTAAGGTAAAGTGGATGTTGTAAAAAGATCGTGTGTTATTTATTATATATTTTTAGCAATTTTCTGCCCCCTTCTCAATTAAAGCCATTCTAAATTAATTAATCAAGTTTTAAAAACGATTTATTTTTATTTTTTAGGAAATATTGAATTCTCTCTGATCCACTTTCGCATAACAACAGACAACTTTTTAAACTATCCGATCTAATATTTTAAATAAAGTCTATCTATCTAATTCAAGTTTATAACGAGTTTTATTTCAAACTTTAAGAAAATGGCTGAGTGATAAAAAAAACAAATAAAAGCATTTTTTTAGATTTTGCTTGTGTATGTTTATATGATCTCATGAGCGAAAAAAAAGGAGCAATGGTTTCTTGATTTGGTAATGAATATCGGTTGTCACGTGATCGATCAATATCTTTTATTAATAGTTTCTTATACAAAAGTTTTTGAATTGTAAATATAAATAAATATAGCTACGTATATATATATATAATAAAGAAAAAATGCCAAACATAATAGTACAATAACTCCATCTATATTTGTATAGTGGAAAACGTATTATTTTATTTTGACCAATCAATCAATTAATTATTAATTATATAGATATATATATATTTAGATATATATGTGTGTGAATGAATGAATGTTTATGTGAATGAGTTTGTGAATTAACGTGAATATAATAATTTAGTAAATGAATTAGTTAATTGATGTGAAATGATGAATATATTGCAAAGAAAAGAAACAAAAGAAAGAAAAAAGAAATAAATATAAAAATAATTTAAAATAATAAATTTGATAATGAATAAAGCCAAAGAAATAATAAAATAATTTTATTTTTTTTATTTTTTTCATTATCTTTCCTTATCTTTCTAATCATCCTCCTCCTCCACCTCATTATCATCATCTCCACTGTCATCATCATTATATAATTGTTATCAATTATTTTTTCAAAGTATTTGTTCATCTATTCTCATTATATCTTTTGATCGCTGCTTCAACACCTATTTTAATTCTTTTTTGGAGTACTGTACGATATCCTATTGCAAAAAGAACTTCTAGCCAAACAAATAACGGTGCAAGTAAAACCGCTGAAAAATAAAAATGCTTTGATTAACAACAACAATAACTATTGTCCAAGCCATATACATAAATCCGCATACCTTGAATTATATTATCTTTTAATGCAGGGCTTCTTTTCTCAGCAAATCCATGTCCAATAAATTGAAGAACCCATGAAGTAATATGAACTATTGAGGCAAGTGTGTTGTGATCTGGAAATATTTTTGAAAAATTCGTAGCATGAAATAGCATATATAGCAGTAATGGAGAATATATTAACTATTTTAATTATTTAGGAAAGAAACATAAAATATAAAATATTAATCAATTAAACAATCGATTAACAAATTATGATATCTCTTTCTTGAAAAACTCACTCCTGCAAAAGGTTCCAATAAAATATAATAAAAAATATAGAACAGAATGACAAAGAATCCTAAATTTGGTTCAATCGGTATCGTTCTCCATAAAGAATCTGACTCATATGATACTAAAGGTCCTGTGTTGGCTGCCCAAACCAAAGAACTCCAAAAAATAAGTGGAACACACACTACATATTAAAAGTATTATTATTGTTGCGAGTAAAATTTGTTTTTACAAAATTTAAAAAGTGACAAACTGAAAAATATATATATATACCAATGTGAATTATGACATTAATCTTATTACGATGATACTGTCCGTAGAATACGAGTTGTTCTTCCAGATTGAGTAAACTCATTTTTTGAAACTAAACTTAGATCTGATTATTATTAATTTCTTTTATTATCAATTGTTAAATTGTTTTCTTCTATTATTTATTATTATTATTATTATTATTATGTCGTTATCTATGAATTTTATATTTTGAAAAAAAAATTTTTATTTCTTGATAATGCAATTTTCTGTGTAAATATTTGTTTACTTTTTTTGTGATTTTCTCGTGGCAATCATATTGAAAAATGTGTATATTTCTGGGCCATATTCAAACACCAAGTTTTTAATTCTTATTGGCTAATTAAAATTTAACCCAGAAAAATTCCAGGGACCTCTCTCACCATCTAATTTTTTTTTTAAAAAAAAAAATGGGCAAAAGGAACAGATCAAGTTTATTACCAACTAATCTTCCACAACTTCAAAATCTTATTAAACGTGATTCAATTTCTTATCGTGATGATTTTTTACAACAATATCGACATTATGAATCTCAATTAGATATTTTTAAAATAAAACCTGACGAAGAAACAGAGGAATTTGGAAGTTTGATAACATTTATTTCGCAGGTTTTTTCTTTTTTTCTTTTGATTCTTTCTCTCTTATCAATTAAATCAATCAGGATGTGATAAATTACTTTTGTTTAATCAGGTTGCGCATTGTTTTCCAAACGAAACTTCAAATTTTCCACAACAAATAATTAATCTTTTATCTGAAAATTATCAAATATTACATCCTGATCTACGAAAAACTATGGTACAATGTCTTGTTTTGCTTCGTAATAAAGATATAATCTCAAGTATAAAGTAATTAATCAATCAATCAATCAATCGAATCGAGTTAATTGTTGCTAATTTTAACAATTAATTTTTTTTTCTGAAAAATTATCAATGCCAATCAACATAAAAAAAAAAAAAAAAAAGGATGTTAGCGTTGTTCTTCACGTTGTTTAGGTGTCGTGATAAACAACTCAGAGAGATATTATATAATAATATAATAACAGATATCAAAAATACCAATTCAAAACATAAAAATAATAAACTCAATAAAACTCTACAAAATTTTATGTATACCATTTTACAAAATACAACTTTGACGAATAATAATGGTGGCAGTAATAATAATTCATTAGCATCGTCAATATTATCAGCAAAAGTATCAACATCATCATCAACAAAATCAAAAACGACAACAACAACATCAGAACTTGGTGAGGATGGTATCACAGCAAAAAAAAGTTTAGATATTTGTATCGAATTATATAGAAAAGGAATTTGGTAATTACTATGATATGTTTAAAACATATCCATTTATTTATTTATAAAGATTATAAAAAAATTTCTTATTATTATTAGGAATGACAATAAAACAGTAAATGTTATCGCTGAAGCATGCTTTCATTCATTAACAAAAGTTAAAGTCACAGCCATAAAATTTTTTCTTGGATCAAATAAAGAAAATCAAGATGATGACAGCGATAATAACGTTGAGGTTAAATATCTATTCTATTAATATAAGATAGAAACGTTATTGTTTAATAATAATATTAGAGATAAATAAATAATTTTAATATTACAATTATTATTATTTTTAGGTAGATTTACCAGATATTAAAAGACTTCAACACATAAATCAAATTAATAAATCTAAAAAATCTAAAACTAGAAAATTAGAGAAAGCGCTTTCCACAATTAGGAAAAAAGAAAGGCAGAAACATAAAGCTGAAAACTTTAATTTCTCTGCAATAAATCTAATAAATGATCCTCAAGGTATGTGCGTGCGTGTATGTGTGTATATATATATATATATATAAATATAAATATATATATATGCGCACATATTCTCTCACTCTCACTCTTTACCTATATTTCATTACCACCATAGTATTAATTTGTTTCCTTGTCTCTAGGATTTGCAGAAAAGTTATTTTCGTCATTACAAAAATCATCAAATAATGATAGATTCGAAGTTAAATTAATGATAATGAATCTTATATCTCGTATAATTGGTATAAATAAACTCATTTTGTTAAATTTCTATAGTTATTTGTTAAGATATTTACAACCACATCAACGTGATGTTACCATGGTATTGGTAATATTGGCTCAAGCTAGTCATGAATTAGTGCCACCTGATGTTTTGGAACCTGTCATTAAAGCTGTTGCTAATAAATTTGTATCCGACAATTGTTCTTCCGAAGTTATTACTGCTGGGTAAAAATTATATATATTTATTTGTTTATTTGTATGTGTGTGTATATTTAATTAATTGATGATGTTTTCTTTGCTTCCATTCCTCTCCATATATGTAGCTTAAATGGTATAAGAGAAGTTTGTGTCAGGCAACCTTTAGCAATGGATTCAACATTACTTCAAGATTTAACAGAGTACAAGGGCGATAGGGATAAAGGAGTTATGATGGCTGCTAGATCATTGATTGGTCTATTTAGAGAAATTAATCCTGAAATATTGAAAAAAAGAGATAGGGTAAATATTTATCCAACTATTTAATTTTATAGTATAACAAATACACAAGTTATTTTATTAATTATTTACTTTTATATTAGGGCAAAATTGCTAGTATGTCCATTAAAGGTTTTAAGCCGTTAAAATATGGTGAATTGAATAATAATACATCTGGACAACAAATTGAAGGGATTGAATTATTAGAAGAGTACAAGGAAAAACTTAAAAATGACGGGATTGAAGAAGATGGTAAAAAAATATTATATTATATATATTGATATTGATATTGATATTGATATTGATATTGATATTGATATTGATATTGATATTGATATCTATATACATTAAAATATATTAAAATGTGGTGTTTTTTTATAGAATGGGCAAGTTGGGAAATGGCATCAAATGATTCTTTTAATGATGATGATAATGATGGCTGGATCGACGTATCTTCAGATGATGACAATAATATAATGATTAGTGATATTAGTGATGATGATGATGATGATGATGATGATAAAAATAATGATGATGACAAAGACACCAAAGAAGAAACGGATGATAAACATACTGATGCAGTTAATGAAAAGAAAATTTCAACTTTGGCAACGACTAAGGTATTTGAATACATCCATATTCAAATTCATATTCACATCCCACATTCACATGTAGATATATATATGTTTAAATGTTTGCATACTAATAACTGATTGATTGACTATCATCCATAAAAATTAGCTGTTAACTCCCGCTGATTTTGCAAAATTAAATGAGTTAAGAATGGAACAAAATGTTGAAAAAATGATTGATGGTGGTGGAAAACGTAAAAGATCACAACTACAACAATCTTCTAAAAGAGAAGAAACAGATGATATAGTTGATTTAAACAATATTGTTGGCCCACGTAAGAAAGCTAAACAAGATTATGAAGAGCGTGTGGAATCTGTTAAAGCAGGACGTGAAGGTAGGAAAAAATATGGCGGTGGACCTAAAAATAAAAAAGTTGAAGGTGCAAGCACCACAAATAAAGAAAAGACTAGAAATAAAGCTTTTATGATGGTTATACATAAGAAAAATGCTATTCATAAAAAAAGAATCACTCTAAGAGAAAAACAGGTAATTCAAAAAAATTTTTACTAAAAGAAATAATTTTTATTCGTTTTTTAACTTTTATTTATTTTATTTATATTTACAGATGCAATTAACTAGATCTCATGGTAAAAGAAAAACAAAAAAATAAATTTTGAGAATAAAAAATACCATTAATTATTTCATTGCTGTTTTTTGTTTAAATCAGGCACCTCAATAGAAATCATGTTACAATATATCGTTATTGAATCCAATACTCTATTTTATTTATTATTTATTGATCGTTAATTAATAGTTATCATCATCATTATTAATAGTCACCAATTAAACTTACTTTTTACACAAATTCTGTAAATGTTTATCGTTAGCTTTTGATAAAACTTCAGACGCGATTTTTTCACATTCTTTACGTTCATTATCGATTATTATATTTTCGTTCTCTAAAGTTTCACAATCAAACTTCAATTCTTCGATTTCTAATTTGACTTCTTCAATTTTCGAATTTAATTGTTGAAGATAAGTTGTCTGTCAAATAAAAAGTATGCATATATGGATTTAATATATAATTAATGACGATAAAAAAATTTTTTTTTATATGTAGTATATATACTACTTGTTCTTCCAGAGTTTTTTTAACATTTTCATTTTCTAATGAATGGGTTTGGATAAGGTTTGTAGTAGTTGTTGGTGTTGTCGAAGGCATTTTCGCGTTGTTTTTTTGGATATTTTTTTGTGTAATTATTTTGTGTAGATCATTGATTTTCATTGAAAAAAAAATTTTTTTTGGTTTCATCTTTATAAATGTTTTTATTAAAAAATAATATCAATAAAATCATCAATTTAAATGGATTATCATCATCATCATTAGTATTCAAAAGAAGTTATTATAAAGTAAATGAAAAAAGAACAAGGATAAAAGATTCTTTTGTTGCAAATGAAGTCAGAAAGCCTGAAAATTATTATGCAAGAAATAGTAGTACGGGTAGCGAAGGCGAAGAATTTGAAGCATTAAATTCTCAACAACGCAGAGCCTTGAAATGGAGACAATTTTATCATGATAATTATATTAAAGTGAATTTTGATCTTTTAGAAAGTACAAGAAAATACATTTATTTATATTTATATTTATATTATATATATTTTTTATAATATGCAAACCATTCAATTCAATCAATTTTTTTTAAAAATAAAGATTTTCCTAATTGGTTATACGGGTTGAAATTATACAAATATTCTCATTTATTTGCAAATATGAAATGGCAAGAAATTATTAAATCAAATGATATAGAATTAAAAAAATTGGGCGTTGATTCATTTTTAGCACGTAAGAGATTATTAAAATCTTTTGAATATATTAAAGAATCTATGGTAAGGATTTTTTTTTATTTGGATTTTTTTTTTTATTACAACTTAATAAACATAAACTAATTGATTGATTAATTGTCGATTGGTATTTTAGAATAATAATAATTAATATTATCAAATGATATGATAATTTAAAAAAGAATTGTTTTTAAAAACACAAGAATAAAAAGAAATTTAATTAAATGTTTATTTATATATGAAAAGAAGAAGTATCATGTAAAGTAGCAGTGATGTTAATACTATCTAGAAACAATAATTTATTTTTAGGTAATGACAGATGATAGATTACAGATGGAAATAAAGTAACCCCGTACAAAAAAATTACAAGCAAGAAACAAAAAAAAGCAAAGCTTTCTCTAAAAGAAAATGAAATAAAAATATACAGGAATGCAATATTTAGTAAAATATACAATAAACTTTACCATCAACCATTAAATGCTAGACACTAGACATTAGCCATTAAAAATTAATTATAGATAAGGAATTAGAATTTATAATTTATAACTTGGAAATTGCATAAGAAATTAGAGTTTAAAGGTTAAAACAGATTATTATTAGTAGTTCTCAACATGTAAAATATTTAACTTATATTAAGTAACAAGAGTTAGATAAATAAATTGGGGACTATGGTGTAAATAAAGTACAGATAATTATTTGATGACAATGAGGTAAAGAGAAATTTTTTTATACATCACACACAGTGTATGCACACGTGCGCGCACGTTTTAAATCGAAGTTATAACTGAATATTAGTCATCTAAAATTATTGACATATATTTTTTAATGCTTCGAGAAATTAAAACCAAAATTTCTTACACGCCAAAAAAATCAAAATCTTTGAAAATTGGTGTTTAATTTTTGGTAACATACATATTACATATTAATATATGGCAACAAAGCGAACGTTTGTGCTGTAAAGGATTACCGCGATTAAACTTGTTAACATCACAACGTACTACCAATAATATGATCTTGCCCAATTTCTTTTCTTCTAAGTTTTTTTTTTAATTATTCAATAAAATCCACATGAAACAATTATCAGACTTGTTTTCTTTTATATATAGTTCGTTTGGTTGTTTTTTAAAACCTTTTTTTTTGTCTTTTAAATATAAATCAAATAACTGGATTATTCTTACCAAGTTCATATAAATTCTGGCCTGCTCTTACTCGTTTTATCGATTTAGCCTAACGTCATCCAATCACACTTTTTAGTTAGCCAACTTCCTGATATTTTCAATTGTAAAGCACGAACCCTTTCAACTAATTTAAAACCTGCTGGTTTTTTTTTAAGAAATGGAATTCCTCAACAGATCTTTCTGAAGGAAGTATCCATGTAACTATAAAAAAATAGAGATGGATGACGACAATGAAGATATTCCTTCAATAGATAGATATGAATTTATTTGCTTTTTTTGATTTTATCTATTCATTTGCTTAATCTTGAAGAAATTATACATGTGTAGTATTTATTTATCTATTTACTAAATAAAAATCTAATCTCGACAGAAAATCTTACACATAGTGATATATATGATTATGTTGTTGTCTCATTTCTCAATGGAAACAATGGTAGATCAGCAAACAGTCTCTGAAGCCTTTTGACATTTCTTTGGCCATTCATTTTACTTAATATTTAACACTCGGAAGTTTCAAGATTTAAAATCTCTTTTACCCGAAAAAAGGTTAATAATACAATGGAAAGTTCAGAGAATGACCGTTTTCGAAGGACTAGTTAAAATTTCAATGCTTTTCGTCCCAGGGGCCACAAAGGGTGATGAATAGGTGTAGAATGGATAATAATAATTTTATTAAATATGTCAATCTAAGCTCGATGAAATATGTTATTATTCGTTTTATTTATTTTTTATGGGGAACTTTATGATTTGCAATCTGGAACGGGAAGCATTCGTGCAGTTTTAGGACGAATGCGAGGACATTCCTAGTCAACTTTTCTAACTGTCTCACCAAGGAAGATCAGTATTAGCAAACGGTGAACATAAATGTTATCAGTGGGCAGCAGCATCATACACTAAAATCGCAGATTACCATCATCACATTTGCTTTCAAGAATTTCATCGTCTTTCGAAACATAGTAAACAGAACCAATAAACGATTATACCAGAAGTAGTGATGGTATTTCAAGCCGAATTCTAGTAATTATAACTCCGTTTGAAAGCGCACAGCCCTATTGATTGGAGGGCTGACCGCGTAACTCGAATGAGCACTTGGCTAAACTGACTAAACTATTTAGTCATATGTTTAGTCAAGATAATTATTACTGAATTAGTTTATATAATCTGTTTCTTTCCTTTTTTTTAAAAATTGTGATTTTTAACTTTTACATTGCTGATTTTTTTGTAAATTAATAAAAAAAAAAGCTTTGATTTTTATCCAAATTCTTCTCAAGATATTTTATTAAATCATTAAATCACATATTTAGAAAAAAATTGTTTATCAACAAAATACTTTCCTTTGCTTGATTATAAATCTGAACAAGTTCTCTATATTTCTAATATTATAAATAATATTATCATGTTTGTAGAATAAAAACACCACGATCAAGATTTGGTATGGCTTTGTTGGTATAAATTATATCATTGTCATCATCACCTATTTATTAAATAAAAGGAATTTTTTTTTTTAATGTTGAGATTTTTGGTCAGAGCAGCCGTTTTGGACAAGCTGGTTATAACAACCACGCCGCCACCTCGGCGGCGAGGTCTTTAACGAGGTGTGCCTACGCTAATGAAGCAAAGGCAGTTAAGCCAATTTAACCTTTTGTCCTCAAATCTTAAAAGGATAATAATAAGTAGGTTTAACGGTACATCATGTCAAAAAAAGGATGCCAAAAAACGATTTATAATTGAAGAATTCCTCAGGAAACAATCAAAAGTATTATTATGTTTATGATATAATGTATTGTAAAATAAGATTAATTATTTTGATTATTTTATTTTTTATCAATTATTTGAAAAATTTTTAATTCATCAAATCTACTATCATTTGCTATATTGATGTTATTATAAATATATAGGTCTACACGAATAAAACCAGTTGAAAGAAATTGAATATCACCACCACCAAAAATAGGTAAACAACTAGGATCACATTGAATTGCATAATAATAATTGTAATTTTTAGCATAGCTAAATTGTGCAGTATCAATATTATTTCTATTACTTATATTGAATATAAAACTTTCAGTTGTTGCTTTATAAGTAGATGTTCCATTCCAATTAAGTGGATTATAACCACCAACTATTTGCTCTGAATTTTGTATTTTGCCAACTACAAGAGTTTTGTTGATGTTGTCACATTTTTGATGAAATATGCTTGCACTTAAACCATCTCTACTACTGTGATATAAAAGTTTAAATTCATATTTAACTTCTCTGTGTGAATTATATGGTGGACTTTTCTTATCTATCCAACTTGCAAAAAGCAAAATAAGCTTTTCATCAATTGTCATTGATTCAAGCTTTGGAATAAGTTTTATATTTCTTGATGGCAATAAGTTTAATGATTGTTGTCTATCAGGAAATAAATAATATTGTAATAAGTTGTTCCAAAAGAACTCAGTAAGAAGTTTTTGATAGGGTACAATTTTATTAAAAAAATCATCTTTAGAAATATCCAGAAATCTTATTAGAGAAATAAGATCCTTTGTTGTGTTGCCCATATCAACAAAGTTTTGTGGTGACCAACTTTTAGGATCATTATTATTGATTTCTGGATGTCTTGATAATCCCCATTTAAGAACATTTTCCCAAATAATTATTTCATCAACAGAAAAATCATCTCTTTTGAGAATTTCCAATAAAATTGGTTTTTCCAATGATTCAAATTCATTTGATTGAAATAATTTTTCACTATAATTACAAAATTTTTTTAAATAGATATTTTTCAATTCCTTAAATATTTCATTAGAATAAACCAATTGTAGAATTTTAACTGGGTTTTCTTTTACATAATCTTCATGTTTTTTAATAAAATAATTCATTGTATATTCATAAAGTGATTCAAGTCCAAGTTCATCAGCTGCAACCAATATTTCTAACACATCAACTCCAGTAAAATTGTCTAATTCAATTTTACATGTATACAAAAATCTTTTAGAATAAATAATAATTATTATACATTCAATAATAAATTAATAAATAAATAAATAATACAGAAATAGTTTAAACTTACTTTAGAATATTTTTGAAAAGTTTTTCTTTAATATTGGCTTTTTGAATAATATAATAACCATTTTCTTTTGTTGCATTACTTAATGCAATGCTGAAAAATGGACAATGAGCACATATGATGGATGCATGTGCATGAAATTCCTTTATGTTTGGTTCTACACCTACATATATCTTTACATCATAAAAATCTTCTGTATTTAATAATCTTTCATTTTCATTAAAATATTTTTCTGAAATTGTTGGGTCCATTTTTTTTTTGAGAATAAAAATGAAAATGTCAAATGATCATTACAATACCCCCCAAAAAATTATAGTCAAATTCATTAGTATTAGTCATTTAAAAAAAAGGGTGCAGTTGCAATGTATTTTTGAAATATATAAAAAAATCGTGTTTGTTTAGAGATAAAAAAATCCCTTGGGAACAGTCAGAAATATTGTTTAGGAGAAAATATCTTTTTTTATTTTTTATTTAAAGGAAATGATGAACTTTCAACAATTATGCAATTTTTTGTGTATGTCCTTTTTTTTTTGAATATTTTTTATTCACATTGAAATTTTGCAGAAGTAAAATTAATTATTTTTGTAAATTTGATTGTTTTACTTTTTATAAACTATTTGAAAAACTTCTAATTCATCAAATCTACTATTATTTGCTATATTGATGTTGTTATAAGTATGTGGTTGGTTTATATAAATACCACCAGTTGGAAGAAATTGAATATCACAACCACCAAAAATAGGTAAATAACCAGAACCACATTGAAAAAAGTTTCAAATCTAAGTTCAGAAAATAATATTAATGATCAAATGGCAAAAACACAAATATATGATGAAATGATGAAATATTTACCTGGAATCAAAAGAGAGTATTTGCGTGAGATGACACAAAAGGCTAAAATTATCAATACATTCTTCAAAGGTGTAGGAATAGATAAAGTTGAGTATGCCACATATAGTGTTGATGCTATTTCTAGTTTAACTAGTACACAAGTTCAAAATATAATAAATGTTTATACTAATGAACTTGTCAAATCTCAAATTGATTATACTGATTTAGGAAAATTACCAGAAACTGAGATAAATGCATCATCTTCAGATATAAAAGAAAGTTTACCGGAAACAGAGGTAAGTGGATTATCTGAAAAGGTTTCTGATGAAACAAATATAAACATACCACCTATAAACAAAGATACATCCAACGAATCCCGACTTCCGATTTCAATTTTACCAGATGATCCAGAAAAAAACGGAATCACGTTATTAAAATGGTATTGGACCGATTTCCTTGTCTATCATTAAAATATAATAATAAGTATGGTGATTATTTCGATTATTCAAAAACATGTCCAACATGTAATGAAAGGCATAAAGGAGATAATGTAGAAGGTCAATGGATGGTGATGATTATTGTGGAGAAAAACTTGTCGTCTCTATTGTTGTAAGAGAACTTTTAGTGGAATCCCACAGTAAATATAAAAGCATAAGAATAAAACATATGTAAATTGAGATTATTTAATCACTGCATATTAACTGGGGGGACAACTCGAGGTTACACATATAGATTTGTCAATTTCAAAACTGTCACCCTATATGAAATTCATTTCTTTGGTAATGCAAATGTTCACTTTGGTTTTGTTGCAGCATGCCCCAAGTTAAAATTTCAGGCATGATTTTTATTTTTTTTAGCCATTATTATAATAAAAATGTTAAGAGATATGAAACCTTGCACATATAATTTGGTGAACCTAAGCTACAAAATAGCAGTTTTTATTAAATTATTATTAAGTATGTTTTTGTGCAGTTACTTATGCTGGTCATGATCATAAGCATTCCAAATTTTTTAAAATGTTCAAAGGTTTGTGAAACACTATTTTTATTTACATTGAAATTTTGCAAAAGTACAGTAGTATTAGTAAAATAATTATTTGTAAATTTTTGATTATTTATTTTTATCAATTACTTGGAAAACTTCTAATCCATCAAATCTACTACCATGTGTTATATTGATGTTATCATAAGTGTATGAATCACTATAAATACAATCAACATTAAATTGAATATCATGACCATCACCAAAAATAGGCAAACAAGAAAAATGACAATAAATTGCTTGTTGATGATAATCATGATAATAATCATTACTTCTAGTATAGCCAAGTTGTGCAGTATTAATATCATTTCTATCATTTATATTAAATATAAAACTTTTATTTGTTTTTTTATAACCATTTCCATTCCAATTGAGTGGATTATAACCACCAATTATTTGATCTGAATTTTGAATTTTACCAATTACAAGAGTTTTGTTGATATTATCACATTTTTGATGAAATACTGTATGATTTAAATCATCTCTACCACTGTGATATAAAAGTTTAAATTCATATTTAACTTCTTTGTATGAATTATATGGTGAACGTTTTCTATCTATCCAACTTGCAAAAAGCAAAATAAGCTTTTCATCAATTATTGTTGATTTTCTTGATGGTAATACGTTTAATGCTTGTTGTCTATCAGGAACTAAATAATATTGTAATATGTCCTTCCAGAAAAACTTAGTAAAAAGTTTCTGATAGGGCACAATTTTATTAAAAAATTTCTCATTAGAAATATCCTGAAATCTTATTAGAGAAATAAGATCCTTTGTTGTGTTGCCCATATCAACAAAGTTTTGTGGTGACCAACTTTTAGGATCATTATTATTGATTTCTGGATGTCTTGATAATCCCCATTTAAGAACATTTTCCCAAATAATTATTTCATCAACAGAAAAATCAACTCTCTTGAGAATTTCCAATAAAATTGGTTTTTCCAATGATTCAAATTCACTTGACTGAAATAATTTTTCATTATAATTATAAAATTTTTCTAGATAGATATTTTTCAATTCCTTAAATATTTCATTAGAATAAACCAATTGTAGAATTTTAACTGGGTTTTCTTTTATATAATTTTCATGTTTTTTAATAAAATGATTCATTGTATATTCATAAAGTGACTCAAGACCAAGTTCATCAGCTGCAATTAATATTTCTAATACATCAACACCAGTAAAATTGTCTAATTCAATCTTACATGTATACAAAAATCTTTTAAAATAATCATAATTATTATACATTCAATAATAAATTAATTAATAAATAAATAATACAGCAATAGTTTAAACTTACTTTAGGATATTTTTGAAAAGTTTTTCATTAATATTGGCTTTTTTAACAATATAATAACCATTTTCTTTTGTTGCATTATTTAATGCAATGCCAAAAAATGGACAATGAGCACATATGATGGATGCATGTGCATGAATTTCTTTTATGTTTGGTTCTACACCTACATATATTTTTACATCATAAAAAACTTCTGTGTTTAATAATCTTTCATTCTCATTAAAATATTTTTCTGATATCGTTGAGTCCATTTTTTGAAGAAAATGAATGGCCAATCAAATGATCATGACAATACCCCAAAATTATAATCATAGTCAAATTCCTGATTTAGTATTTAGTCATTTAAATAAAAAAGGGTGCAGTTGTAATACATTTGTTTAGAATATTCAATGTTTATATATGTTATTAGATTGTCTTTGCTTTTTTAAACTTTATAATGATGGTTGATCTAAAGTCAGAAGAACTACATTTTTGAATTTAATCCTAATGAAAATAGTGTTTATTTAATATGATAATGGACAAAAGGCTAACACACGTTTAAAAGTTAAATTGCACAAAAACGGCAGTGTCGTCAAAATTGCCGGTCCAATCAGCGCAGTAAAAAAAGTGGCTTAGTTGTATATTGGATCAGTCCAATTGGTTTGGAAATGGACTTATTGGACTGGGACTAGACTTTATTTGGACTTTGTCATACAAAGATAAAAAATTTATTACACTCTTTCAATGCCTCAAGGAAGTAACCAATACAAAAAATACTTTCATGTTTTACCTGATAAACCAAATGGTTACAATCACTTGGGTATCTGCATTTCTTGTAAGAACTCTAATATAAATATCAATGAATTGAAAATAATAACTTTAACTAAAAAACTTGTCATAATCATTTGTTGAATTGAAACTACAATTGAAAATGAACTTTATAATAACAGTGAAGGTTTTATTAATACATCATATAAAGAAATAAATAATTTACAAAATCTTTCTACTCCAAATAAAAAAAGACTTGGGTATGAATTTTAGTGTATTTATTTATTAAAAAAGAATAAGATAAAAATAATAACTTTATTTAAATATCATTAATACAAATAGAAAGACCAATGTAAAAAATATTCAATCATATATTTGTCATTGTTAATTTAAATTCTGAAATATGATTGGATACCCCTTTAGAATTGGTCCAGAGTCCAATAAGTACAATTCCCAACACTGCAAAAACGTCCTTAATAACCAAATTATATGTGCATAGTTTCATATTCCTAACATTTTTATTTTATTAAACTGATGGATGGTTAAAAAAATAAAATTCTGACCAAAAACTTGATTGCATATAATAACTAGATCTGAAGTTTTGACATGTGATTCTAAAGCTCCGCATGAACCTGCTCGAGCCAAGCCAAGCTTATAAACAACTGCCTCAGCTCAGGCTCGGTTTGGTCTGTTGGCTCGCAAGCTCGATTAATACGATCAATATTATAAACGTGTTTCATTTCGAATAGTAATTAATTAACATTATATGTGTATTCTTTTTTCTTTAAAAATGTATAATGACAATAATAAACAATAATAATTATGATGATAGTCATAATAAGGTGATTGAATTGCTTGAATATGATAGTGAGTATAAATATAATGAATGTGAATATAATGATGAATATCGGAATGAACACATAAATGAAAGTGTAAATCAAAGTGCAAGTGCAAGTGGAAGCATAAACAAAAATGTAATTGGAAGTATAAATGAACAATGAAAACAAAAGTAGTAGTATTTCTTTCTCTCCCTCTAGGAAACGTACTTTAGCTCTCTACAAACATTATTATTTTTCAAATGGTCAACGGCATTGTAAATATTGCTGGTAGGGTCATCCTATATACAGAAAGGTTCTTTTTATGAAATATACAGAACCTATGTGACAAATAAGAATTTATTTTTGGAGTTGGTAAGCATTCCATAACTCCTACCACCCCAAGCCTCACAAGTTTAATCATCACATACAGATAACTGTCACGAGGATGTTACAAAAATTTGAGCCATTTCCTTTTTTATAGAATAAATTTCCATTTTTGGTAGGGTACTGTATATTTCAAAAAAAGAACCTTACTGTATATAGGATATTCCTTGCTGGTAATGTTGGCGATTTATACAATAGTTTATTATTTTTATATGGTTGTTTTTTTAATTGACAATACCAACAATTTTGGTAATTCATAAACAACAACACTACAGAGACACTTTAATAATAATCATTCAAAAAAGGAAAATCCTATATACAGGACCGGTCCTGTGGCTGAATATACAGGACCTTCCTAATTTGGAGGTGGCACCTATGATCTGCGTGAACCCTTGCTAATTCATGTGCGTGATGAATAATATAATAAATTTTTATATAAATTTATTATTATTTAAAAAAAAAAAATCATGTCATCATCATTATCAATGGTTTAACAAATTATGAGGAAGTTGTGTAGGATATGGGGGGCTGTAAAATAATACTGTTTAAGAAGTAAAAATAAAATTGTATTATCTTTACAATGAAATGAATGCTTCAAAATTTAATATTATTGATCTTCACAAGAATGACTCTTAAAATACAAATAACCAAAACCATCTTGTACAAAATATACAGAACTTATAAACGGAATATAGAACCCATATTATATACAGGACCCTCCTGTATATTTTCTTTATGGACGGAATATACAGGACCCTCCTGTATATTTTCTTTATGGGTGGAATATACAGGACCCTCCTGTATATTTTCTTTATGAATGGAATATACAGGACCCTCCTGTATATTTTCTTTATGGATGGAATATACAGGACCCTACTGTATATTTTCTTTATGAATGGAATATACAGGACCCTACTGTATATTTTCTTTATGGATGGAATTTATAGGACCCTCCTGTATATTTTTTCTTTAATAGAGCCCATATTATATACAGGACCCTCTTGTATATTTTCTTTATAGACGGAATATACAGGACCCATATTATATACAGGACCCTCCTGTATATTTCTTTATAGACAGAATATACAGGACCCATATTATATACAGGACCCATCTTAATACAGGCCCCTGTATATTTTTCTTTATAGACGGAATAGGGTCCCATATTATATAGAGGACCCTCCTGTATATTTTTTCTTTATATACGGAATAAGGTCCTATATTATATATAGAGGACCCTCCTGTATATTTTTTCTTTATAGACAGAATAAGGTCCCGTATTATATAGAGGACCCTCCTGTATATTGTCTTTATAGACGTAATATACAGGACCCATCTTGTATATGATTTTCATTCATCTTTTCAATTGTTTATGATTATATTTTAACATTCAATTATTTATCATATATTGTTATTCATTGTTACAAACATATGGTTGAATTCAATTGGCCAAAGAAAATTAAAGTAAATAAAATAGAAGCTCTATAGGGGACTTTGTTGCTTTGTAGAGGACTACATTTATTTATTGTTATTGGTACCATAAAATGTGCTTAAAATTTCGCAAAGCTTTCTAGGTACAGAAAGAAGCAGCGGGATAGTAATAGTTTTTAAATAAATTCACAAAAATTAATCATCATGCATATGAATTAACAAGGGTTCTATTAAAAAACATGCAGATCATAGGTGCCACTTCCAAATCAGGAAGGTCCTGTATATTTAGCCACAGGACCGGTCCTGTATATAGGATCACCCTTCAAAAAAAATACGGAAGAGCAATATTAAATTTTGCAATTTTAATAATAATTTACCAGAAAAAGTAATTTAAAAATAGAACATTTAAATTTTATGTTTAAATCACTTAATTTGGATTTATTACAAATCCAAATTCGAAATAAAAATAGGCCGCTTTCAATATAAACTGTTTTTTTTTTAAAAAACAAAATTTATTTTATTATTAATTAAATCACGCTTCATTTAAAAATGATGTTGAAAGATTTATTATCTAAGAACTCGTGTAAAACTGAGCCGATGTCAGTTGTATTATGTAAATGGTTTACTGTTGTAGTCTTTACATCGATATCATTAGCTATTTTGGTTGTATTATCAGTTGGAGTACGTAATGATAAACCAATAATTAAAACACTTATTCTCCAACGGAACAGTTTCCTCTACCAGATGAATTTGATTGATGGGTTAGATCATATATGAATGTTGAATAATGATCATAATCATAACTATCATCATCTTATTATTATTGTGTTGACTTTTTAACTAAAATTATTTATTATATAGTTCTTAGTGTAAGGTTCACGAAACGATTTACAATAAATTGTGAGCTCAGGGAAAAAAGTAAAATTATATTATGTTGTTGTGTGCTATATATATGCATTGTATTATACAAATAATTATATTTATTTATTTATTTTTAGCAAGTCTTACAATTTGTCTTGAATATATAACTCAACCTATTCATTATAATAATAATATCTGGGAAGGAGGGTTTTCGCCAGCTAATTTATCATTTTCCAGCTCTTCTCAATATCAAGAAATAATTCTTTTCATTACAATTACTGATCCGTCATATAATTATACTGTGGATTTTAATACAGTAGCTATTAATATGCACGATTCAGGTAAAAAATAAATAATTTATTAATTTTAACATTAACAGATTGACTGGTTGATCGATCGGTTCTTTGTTTTTATTAGAATATCTTCCGTTTGACGATTCATATAAGAATACATCTAATAGTGTCTATTCAGCTTTTAACACGGCAATTGAACACAGAAACGAACATGGCTTGGGAGTAACAAAGATGCGTTCCCGATTATTATACATTAACATCACGGGTTCCACATACCTGTTATATATACCTATTGTATGACAAGGTTAATAATAAGGAGCTTTTTTTAATTATATTTATTTCAGCAGCAGTAGCAGAAGATAATTCAGATAATTCTTCATTTTTCTTACAAAACCATATTTAATATTTGATATAAAGACATGTTTTTAAAAATTGTGAATATGGTTTTGTTTTTATTTTTTGCAAGGATAATCAATTTATTTTCACAATTCACATTACCAAATTATAATATTTTTCGAGACCTCAAACTATAACATTGAATCGTGTAACAAATAGTTTGAGTTGATAATTTTTGGATAATTTTACGATGATCTATTGTAAATAATAAAATCAGCCTAATCAAAGGGAATCCCAAAAAGTAAATTTTTGAGTTTCACGGAAACAACTGATTTCTTTAAATATCAAGAAAAAGAACAAGAATAAGAATAAGAAGGTAGGGATAAAGGATATCGATATTGATTATCATGAGAGCAAAATAATTTTTTGTGAACGAATTTTTTAAAAAAAAATCCTGGTTGAATTTTGATTCTTTGATTTTTTGTATATTATAATTATTATAATATAGATCAAATTAAATTTTCTTTTACGATTCGATTAATTTTTTTTCCTAAATAAACATTAATTACTTTTTTTTTTTTAATATGCAATTCTGAACAATGTTAATTTATAAAATTCACTCTCTCTATAACAGTTTTCACTCTATAACGAATTGAGAATTTGGGCCCAATTAAAACTATCTCACACGTCTCATGTACTGTTTATAACGAACGGTGTTTCTCTATATCGGATTTTTTTGCTGAAACAGAAGGGCCGTTATAAAGAGAGTGAACTGTATATATGTGCTTTGTTTTATTATATCGTTAATTCAAGAATTTCAAAGAGGTAGAACACACCTTTGCAGATCCTGCCTGTCCTTGCTTTTGTTTTTTCTGTTTTTAAGCCACATTAATTTTTGTTCTTAACAAAAAAATTATACATATATAAAAATAAATCAGATAATTTTCTTTTTTCGTACAAGTTTTTTTATTTGTCGAACATAATCCAAATCGTACTGTGCGCGCAATAAATAATCGTGTAGTTACCCGCAAAATTCCCAAATTTTTGTTATTATATTAATATATAGGTAAAATAATAAGATGATAGTGCGTAATAATTCAACTTCTTAAATAGGAATAGATGACGCTTTGGTAGTAACAAATAAATTCTGCGAAAATAATTAAAAAAAACTTGGATTAGGCTTGATTATGAGTATAACCGGTTTTTTTCATGTCCCACATATCACAACTTAACATTGAATATATATAATAAGTGTAAATAAATAAATGACGTTTGCATTTTTTCCCTGTTTCTTTTTATTAACAATACCAATAATTTAAAATCTTTTTTTCTAAAATATGAAAAACTACAACAAATACAATGTAATGATCAGAAAAGGATTATTATTTGATTCGATAAATGAATCATATAAATCATATAGACCAGATTTTCCACCTAATATTAGTACTAATGATATTGTCGGAATGGCAAATCAAAAGTCTCGTAAATTCCCAAATGCTTTTATTGTTTATCGAAAGATGACAAGCCACGGGGAAAAGTTGAAGCATCACAAATTAACAGTTTCCCAGATTTCATCTTTAGCGGGAAGACTTTGGAAGGAGGAGCCCGACTTTGTTCAAAAATATTATAGAGATTTAGCTTATGAAGCTGAAATAAAGCATAACAAACATAAAGGATATTTACATATGATAAATTATGATTATAATTATTATAAAAACAATAATAAACATAGCAAGTTCTTAATTTGACAATAATGTATTACTTTTCCGATAATTAATATAATAACGAACTTTCAAAGATATCATTATCATTATCATTATCATTATCATTATCATTATCATTATCATCATCGTCAATCATCATTCAAATCATCGCTATTATAGTGATATATTTTATGAAACGAGTTAAAATTTTACGATGATTATGGGAATATGAAACGAAAATTTTACAACTTTTGAATAATCATCAAATAAAATAGTTTATTTTTTTATATCTAGTTTTCCAATATTAAATCTTTTCTTTATTAATTTATTTATATATACATATATACAGTTAAACAATGCTTTTTTAAAAAATAAAAAAAAGCTTGAATTGAAAATTGATTTTTCATTTTCCTTCTCACACATTACACGACAATAAGTAAAAGGAGTAAATGTTAACGATTGAATTCTATCTATATATCACTAAGGTATCATTGGAATTTTCTTCTCGCGTCATTCTTCCAGAATCGTTGGTCTCTATCTCCTCATTATAGATGTCAGTCAGTATACGTGTATTTATTGTTTTTCTCCATTAATTGACATCTACGGTTTTAATTGATATTCAGCAATATACATGATTGTTTTTTCAAATAATGCAATGTTCTATACATAATTAATTATATTCAAAAAAAAAAATTTTTTTGCGAATTTTAATTTTTACCAAGTTATTTATTATTGGTTATATTATGATAGTGTTTTCAAGAAATGACAAAATCAAAAACTTGGCCACAATGATAATTTCAGCTTCTATTTCATCTAAAAGGAATCGGTCTGCTTTTTTTTTATAAATGATAAAAAGAGAAACAAATTGACGTTTGAATGTGATTTAAATTGATATATATTTATTTATTTTATTAGAAATTAAAATGTCCAAAAAATACAATGATAATATGGATATTAATTACAATTGATGGTGATGGAAATGTGGGAGACGAAAACGATAAAAGTGATAATGATGATGAAACAATTAGAATAGAAGGCGGTGAAGAAGAATGTAGTGGTAGTGATAATAATAATATTGAAATTTATTATTATATTTTTGGTACAACAAACAATTGAATCGTCCAAGTAATGATATACTAAGACCATACATAAAGAATAGAGTTGCTCTACATGCAATGCATAATAAAACATGTAGGCATATATAAAACCGATTCACATATGGCGCCGAGAGAGACCGTCGAAGGAAGCTCCACCTTGTTGTCCGAGTTGTGGTGGAGCGTTGAGCGTCGTTGGTGTTGTATTTTATGTGAATCGGAAAATAATAAATCTAATTTATAATCTTTGGGTATTAGATTTAAAAAAAATTATTCCACATACAAATATGCAGCTGCTTACATCAGGTTTAATATGAACATTTCTGACTCATATAAACCATTTATGTAAGCCTACAACTCTATATGACAGCAACAGTTATATTGCAATAGGCAAGTGCTGCATATTTGGAGGCTATGTTGCAAAGTGAGGTCTCTTTGCCATGGTGCAATTTATGCTAAACCGACAAGCTACCTTTCTCCCCTTGTAGCCCTCCCCGTGAGGGCCAGAGTTTAGACTGCACCATTGTAGATTAGGAAGGTAACTAGTCATCTTAGCCTTTAACCTGTGGAATGTTTTGAATAGTTAATCGCTGTTGTTGTTGTTGTTGTTGTCGTTGAACCGTCAAGATCGCTGGGTCGCTTTTAAAGATAAATAGAGCGAGAAAATAAATATTTGTTTCTACATCGTATAAATATATATGTAAAATTATTTTACTTTCCACTAGTGATGGGAATTTTTAACCCTACACTTAATAACTCCAAGTTATTAATAGTTAATAACCACTTATTAACTGTTGCACTCTGAGTGAGAGTTATTAATCCAAAAGATCCATTTTGTCAATCAATCCCAGTGTATAGAATTCAGCATGTGGAATGTGCTGTGCTAACCAAATTCAGCAGATTTGGAAAAAATTTATCAAATTTGGTTAGCATGCCCACTCTGCACACTGAATTTTATGCACAGTACTAAATTAATTATTATTAACTTGTTTATCACTACTAATAGTACATAGTAATTGTCAAACCCAGTCAATACGAATCCCATTAATCCGTTAAATAGATATATCCAAATTCGACCTGCTAAACAGTAGATTTTTACTTTTTAACCCGTAAAAGTAAAACCCATTGATCTGTTTTTTTTTTCTGAATTTTTATTTAATCAATCAGATACTGATCTTCAAGTTTTGAAGTAATCCGAAGAAAAATGGCTGTATAGACGCCTTCGGGTTGACGTAGTTGCCTATTTAGTAGCAATAGAAGGAATGTTAGGAATAATAATAGTAGTAATAGAAATGAAATTGCGATAATGATTACATAAACATATATTAATATACAAAACTCCATAATTGCCCTTCTTAATAAATGATCGTTGCCATAATTGGGTTTTTATAGTTGCCATAGTTACCTTTGTAATTATTTGAACTTTTTGAGTCAAATGATATATAGTTATTTTATGTTCATTCATATAATAATAAAGAATATTGATTGAGAATCCGTAATTATTTCCATGATCAATTTTCCTCCAAACACAATTACGGCAAGCAACTATAGTGTGTATAACACTACCATCCATGCATGACCGAATCAAAATACTTGAGTTCTGCTTGATATTCTGGTCAGTAATTTTAATAAATAAAGCGTTTATTTGAATTCTTCTATTGTAATAGTAAAAGGCTAGAAGGTACATTTATAAATGTTGTAAAGAGCCTTGTAATTGATTTAACTCTCTTTGCAAACCTAGCTTGTTGTTAGTAGATTGAATTCGTTGTCTTCTGTATTTGAACTTTCAGTCTTCTTGTTGAGTAAAATAATATTAATGATGGCAATGATAATTCTGAAAAAGAAAAACATCAGAAGATAGATACCACAGAAAATCAGAATAAGTGAAATAAGAAGAGATTTATCATTCTTCGAATCTAACTATAGTGGTCCTTTTATCTCTATCTTCTCATCGATGCACAAATGTTCAGAACTTGCATTACTATCTATCGGTTTGTCTAATTCTGAATGTGTTTCTCTGTTACTAAAATTATTGTTTGTCTCTCCTGTAATAGTTGTATCGTAATTACTAATCATGTTCTTTTGTCTGGTTTGCTTTAAAATCAATAAGTTCTAGATAATACAAAAAAAAATTGATGACATCAGAGAAATGCTGATCAATTTACATTTCAAAAATCAAAAATATTAATTTTGAAACCAAATAGTGGCATTCATGAATCTATTCAATGTGCAATCAATAAAGTTTTATATATTAATTTCACGCTAAAATTTTTCCGTCTTCATATTTTTATTGATATGCATTTTGAATTTTTAAATTCTAATACAAAAACTTCTATATAATGAAAAAATAATGCTTATTATCTCCAAGAATAAAGTCTTTTCTTTATCAAACTTGGAAATAAATCGGAAATAACCAGTCCAATGATTCTAACATTTATCGTTAATCCTAAAATTCTATTTAAAAGAGAGAATTTAAAATCATTCAAAAGTACCTTGGAATTTTTCTTAAAAGAAAGGTCCAGGTTATTTTTAAGGAATCTTAAATTGGAATAAGAGACTATATCATCAAGAGTTTCCAGAATAAGTTTAATGAATCATACTTTTAATTCTGAAATGAACATAATAATAGTTAGTTTCAAAAATAAAGCACAAATACATATTCGCGAAAATTGTTGGCATAGTTGGCAGTTATCGCATAATCAACATTAAAATTTATAAAAAAGGAGAAAAAATAATGTGAACGAACGAACCTTCTTCCTTTAATTAATAATAATTAATGATAATAATAGTAATTAATAGTAATAATTAATAGTAACAACAGTAATTAATTGCAGTAATAGTAATAATAGTAATAGTAATAGTAATTAATAGTAATTAATCATAGTAATAATCATAGTAATTAATAGAGTAATAATTGTGGTAGCAGCAACAATTGTAGTAGTAGTAATAATAATAATAATTAATAGTAATTAATCATAGGAATGATAGTAATTAATCATAATAATAATAATAGATCAAGATCATCTAATTTTTTTGGTAGAGAATCAGAAGAAAAAATTAATAATAATTAGTAATAAAGTAATTCAATATTATTAATACAGATGAATTAGATGCAGTTGGTTGTTGACGATGTTGTGGATGATAATGTTGTAGTGGCGACAGTAAAGTTCCATGATCTTTTGGAGGATATGGCTGAAATTCTAAAGCCTCTTGATTATGTATAATATTTGGTGTTAGGCATTAAAAAATGCGTGTAATAATGCAATAATCTCAAACCATCTGAATCAAAATGACCTGAATATCATTTTTAGATTGTGAGAAACCCCGTTTTTTAACTTCAATTGAAGAATCTATATTATTATTAGTAATTGTTGTAGATTTCTTTGAATGATATACAATATAAAAAATTGGTAAACTAATTCATTTATATAAAACCCTTTTTCGATATCATTATCTATAGTAATAGAATGAATTTGAGTCTGCTGAGATTGTTGTATAGATGAGGATGGACTTGACAAAAGGTGAATGAATGTTATTATTGTCTTTTTGTGCCAGTCTTCAATAGCTTAAACTCATGAAATGAACCATTAACAACCTCTTGAACTTTACGACCAGGATTAGATAAAATTTCACAAAGACAATGTTGATATATTAATGTTTGTCACTGTGATATCAAAAAATATGTTGTATAATCATATGATTAATTACTTTATTATTATTGAAGGTTCAAGTTGAATATTTGTGAGGTTTATTAGAGAGAAAGACTTTTCATATAAAATTCCATTTAAATATATACAACCAATAAAAATCAAATTTCCACCATGCTATTTTCAATGTTACCACCACTTTTTTTTTTGATTATATTTATTTAGGGAAATCAAACCAAAAAATTATTTTCAAATTTTTTTTAAGCATTTTTTAAAATTATCTTTATGCATTATACAGGTCACTCCCGTTATAAGGACAGCTCGTTATAGTGACATTTTTTCAAAAACACATTTTTATAAATATAAATTTACTCCCGTTATAATGACATTCATTATGTATCCCGTTATAAGACTATAAGGACATAATTGGACAAAA